CCTGATGATTTTCTTCTAGTTTCTTCATTCAACAAACTGCTGGTAACTTGACTCATTGTTACCACTCCATCAGGTGCGGAGTTACTAACTGTGACCACCAAAGTTTCCCAGCTTTCAGGAAGTGAACTAAGAAGTAACAAAGCTTGCAACTCATCATCAAAAGTAATTTTCATGGCGGCCAACTGATTCACAATGCTCTTAATCTCATTCAAATGCTCTGCAATAGAAGTACCCTCCTTATATTTAGAGTTCACAAGCTTTCGAAATAAAAAGGCTTTATTCACTGCCGTCTTTCTATCATACAAACTCTCCAATTTGGTCCAAAGACCATGTGCAGATTTTTCTGTAGAGACATGATGAAAGACACTATCATCAATCCATTGCCGAATAAAACCGACAGCATTCCGGTCTAGCTTTTTCCACTCGTCATCTTTCATCCCTTCCAGTTTGCCACTATCACCCTCTATGGGTCCATTCAAATCTTTACAAAATAAAAGATCTTCCATTTTAGTTTTCCAAGTCACCCAATTTGTGCCATTGAAACTAACCATACGTCCAACGTTGCCGTCCATAATTCACACACAGAAATATAACGAATCGGAACCGAATTAACCAATTGCTCTGATACCAGATGTTGGGAAAATAGGCTTTCCCACAAGTGTAAATCAATGGAAGCAATATAAATAAAATAACAGAAAATAAATAAGCACACAAGATTTACGTGGTTCCCTCAAATAACTTGAGGTACATCCACGACGACCGGTAGGTCAGTTTCTTCCACTATCACCAAATCAGATTACAAAGTGGCCAAAAGGCATAAGCCTTACAAACACACCAAGGTGTAAATCACAAGAGGAAAATACCTCACAAAATAAGTGAACCAAATCTCCAAGAACAAACCGCAAGAAACCCAAATATCAAGTGAAGAAATGTTACCCACTTGAAGAACAAATTTGCAGATTTTTCTGGCACCAAAAAGGAGAAGAAGAAGGCTGAATTTTTGTTGAACCAAAGACTGCCGAAAATATGTCTTCTTGCCAAACCAACAGAGAAGAGATGAACCAAAGAAAAGGACAAAACTTATAGTCTTTGGTGGCTGCCAAATTCCTTTTAACTTGAAGACTCCAAACCAAGTCTTGGATAAGAGTCATACACGGGTAAACCACCAAAAAATTAGCAAATTGATGAGTCCCACAAAGGAGGGAAACCCAACATACTTAACTATTAGATTCAATATATCTGAAATATGGGAAGTTTTATTCATCATTTCCTTGATACAGACATATATTTGGCACCAAATTACTATTTTGGTAAGCCAAACTATGCATATTTATTACTGCTTCATTATATTACAAGCATGTATGAAGCATCTTATTCCTGTAAGTAACTCTGGAGACGGCTCGAGCGGTCCCTTTAAATGCCTAAGCAAAAGGCCTCTGGTTGTAGCAATCCAGATTGTTGCCATAGCCTACTCCTAGTATGTCACAGTATCTTTTGTAGAAACCGATCCGATCCTCCACCTGTGGGTTAGAACCTTTACCACATTCAATTCCACCGTTGATGATATTGGTGATCACACCATAGCCAGGGACACGACCGGCTGCTGTATCTGCTGCCGATGGCCTCCATGTTCCGGTGATGACGTCGTGGCATGAAGGTTTTGGCGATTGGGGTGTCATCCAAAACCAAAACGCTGTCTTGAAAGAAACTACTGGATCGTTTGCAACAGTTTCGGGGCTGTTTAGCAGATTCATTCCGATGGCTCTTCCTGCTGGACCATAGTTGTAGTTGCTGGCAAGTCATGGTAGACGTCCGAGTACAAAGTTAAGGTTTTTGTGATCGATGCAATTTAGAAGAAGAGGACAAAACATGTTCTAATCTGTTGATTATCTAACCAAAAGTAAAAAAGACAAACACTTACTGTGTGATTTGAATGGGTCCTCGACCATAGTACTTCTTACCAGGAACGCATGGCCATTGTTGATTTGGAGTACAATAATCTGGTGGGTTGCCTCGTTCTTCTTTGAAGCAGTATCCCCATGCATATGGACCATCTGGGGCTGTAGGCCACCCACCTATGTTAATCCATCCAAAACTTATAAGTAATCATGTTATCATTATTCTTTTTTGTTTCACAGAAATAGCCTCCCCATACACGAGTATGAATACATAAACCAGATCCTCTATCTACAAACCCCAAAGTGACAAGAACGTTTTTTCGTTTTCTTTTTCATTTGTATCATTTTCGAGTTAACTAATACTCCGTTCAGTAGGAATGATGAAAAGTAGGAAAGATACACTTTCAATTATTCAATGATGAAAAGTAGGAATAATACGTTTTCCTTCTTTTGTGTTTGGTTAGATAGATGAAAAATAAAAATAATCATTTTTTTTGTCTCATATTTAAGGTGACAATCGAGTCATGTCGTATCAGATTCGTGTTATTATAAATTTTTTATATTTCTTACTCGCGTAACAAGTCAATTTCAAATTCGTTTCGAGTTATTATCAAATTCGTGTCATAAAATTCGTGTCCAATTCCAATCGTGTCATCGTGTTGAATAGAAATTTTTCATCCCTAAAATATGAAAAAAAAAAAAATTTAATTTAAAATATTTTTTTTTTTAAAATTTTTTAAAAAGTATATATATATACATATTTTATTATTGTATTTTTATATGAAATTAATGTATACATTATATATAAACAAATAAGATATATCTAAATACAAATAATTAACTTTCTATCCATTTTCCTTTTGATTTTGGAGAGAATGATTTTGGTAAGTTGAAAGAAAAGTTAATTCATCAACTTTTTCATCCTTACTATTTTCTTTCCTTACAAAACATGATATTTTATTTATTCATCTAATTTTCTATCCTTCTAACTTTTCATCCTTTCATTTTTTCATCATACCAAACAGGGCATTAAGGTTTAACTCCTTTATATGTATCACTACACATTCCAATCTTAATTAGTGGTCGCGAAAAGATGCCATAAGGAAGACTTGGGTTTGGGTTTGCATGTGGGGTGGGGGAAGGGAGACTTTTCTTCTGATATAGACATTTTAATCATTGATTATCGATTTTCAATTTCTAACGATGTGGAGCCATCACTACATGTATCAATCTTAATTAGGGGTCGTGAACAAACGCCGTAAGCAAGACTCTAACCACTGATATTTTTAAGTAGGACAATGAAAGTTCATATTCGATACATTTCTTTTCTTCTTCAATTGATCATAGTTATGTTATTCCATGACTCCCACTACACTTTTCTTTTGATAATATTAATGTTGGGATATTTTAACCATTGATTGACAGATTTTAAAAGTTGTATTAACCGCAATCTCTAATTATGTCCTAAAAAATATGTGTGTTTTTGAGTTATCACTACATGCATCCATCTTGATTTGCTTGAATCGGGGAAGATGGGATTTGAGCAATCTTACCAATACAAACAAATTTTGGGGTCCAAACTTCAAGACACGAAAAATGGGTACAATCTAATTCTTTACAAGAAAACTTGATACAACCTTAATTACAATACTAAAATCTATCCTAAACTAATATAAAAACCACTACTAATGATGCCCAAGTCATGAGAACTGTTATTTCTTGAATTTCAAGAGTCGTATTAACTGATCCTAATTCTTTCTTTGATTACTGATATCCCTTATAATAACTTAATCATCCTTTCGTAAATAGCTCCAATCTTAAAACTATTACTCTTCAAATTTCAAACGTCATACCGACTGGCCTATCTCTTCCACATTACTCAGAATGCCAATCACGTGACAAGTTCTTTGCAGATTTTTTCGTGACATGTGTCTTTCCTTGTACATCCCAAAGTAACATATTTACCAAATATTGTAGCGCATGAGCCATCTCTGGATTTTTTGAATTTTCTCATGAGCTTAATCCAGAGAATGTACCTTGGACCCGAAAAGAATGTACCATTTGGACGAGTTAGGCAGGACTATAAGGGTATTTGTCGCCTTGCGTGTTGAATAAGACACCTGTATTACAGTCAAGATTCCCAGTCGGTGTCTAGAGACCTTTCCATCAAATCTTTCTCGTACCATCAGTTAAAATCACCCCAAGTACTATGGTAAAAAAAAGGGTTGATAAGTATTTTTGGTTCTTCAAGAATGTATTTTTTGTTAATTTAATTTTTATTGTATTAAATTTTTTTAATTTGGTCCTTATAATATTTAAATTCGTGTCATTTTGGTCATTAATCACACAATTTTTTAATTCTTTTATGGAAGAGATCATGTGTTATTTTTTTAGACGGGATCATATTTTCAACACATGATCATTCAATCAAAAATTTAATAGTTCTTTTCTATACAAGCGTAACATAGTAATTTCTGACACAACACAAAAACACGACTTGAAATAAACACAAAATTTTGAGTTAGGTTAGTTATTTCTCAACACAAATTCGTATATAACACGATCCCTTAACACGAACAACAAATAGGTTGAATTAGTATCAAATACGATCAATACATTTAAATATTATTATAAGAATAAAATATTAATTTTTATTATATTTTATCAAGTAGTGACCTAATTTGTGTACAAAAAAAATTATTTTTACTTATTATTATTATTATATTTATTGAATTAATTTTTAATTTAGAGAAAAAATATGAGCAAAAGTTTGATCAAGAGATAAAAAAATTTTATACATAAAACAGAGGGTTAAATTTTTTATTGACGGGTTATATCGGCTAACACAAAGATAACATGAAAATACATAAATCAACACGACACTATTAATTAAATAAGTTGAATTAAAATTAATTAATATTCAACATAAAATTAAAATAACCTGATACGAACGCGACGGACGAACTATGGAAGTGTAGTCTAGCTAAAAGACTGATGGGTACGTGTGATTTTGCAAATACCTAATCAACCCAACCTATTAGCTTTGACCATATCTTCTGGTTACCTTCCTACTAGAAACTTCTTTTTTTATTTTTATTTTTCAATTGCCAATCACAAAAGGATTGGTAAGTGTTCGATTGAATAGTTTATTTGATTAAAGGGGCATACAAATAGTCATTATATAAGTAAAGAAGATTTATATTGAAGATTTACCCCAAAAAAAATATTCTATTAGGGGTCCATTTCTATACTAAGGGTATCTTCAACCCTAACTCAAATTTAAATTTGAGTAAAAAAATTTTAAAAATTTGCTCTAATTTTTATTCAAACTTATACCAAATCAAGGGAGACTATTTTTTTTTTACTCAACATCTCAAACTATGACTTAAATTTTTACTCAAATTTAAGTTAGCATTTGAGTAAAAAGTTTGATTTGATACGAAGGACTTCAATTGACAAACTCAAATTTAAAGAATGAGACACTTAAATTTAAATGAGAACAAACTCAAAATTAAATGAGAGTAAAGATGACCATTAGATCTTTAAAATATGGTAAAATCTCATCATTAAAGATGTGAGTAAGGATTTGAGTCTCCCTTAATTTGAGTAAAAAAAAAGTCTCTTGATTTGGTATAAGTTTGAGTAAGGGTTGGAACAAGTTTTTAAAATTTTTTTATTTAAATTTAAATTAATATTTGAGTAAAAAGCTTGATTTGATATAAAGGACTTCGATGGACAAACTCAAATTTAAAAAATGAGAGATCCAAATTTAAATGAGGGCAAACACAAATTAAAAGAGAGTAAAGATGACTATTGGATTTTTAAAAAATTCTGAAATTTTACCATTAAAGATTTGAGTCTCTCTTACTTTGAATAAAAAAATGAGTTTCCTTGATTTTGTATATGTTTGAGTCAAGGATTGAAACAAGTTTTTTAGACTTTTTTACTCAAATTTAAATTTGAGTAAGGGTCGGAGATGCCCTTAGAAAGACTCAAATTCTTACCCAAATCTTTAATGGTGAGATTTCACCATCTTTTAAAAATTCAATTGTCATCTTTACTCTCATTTAATTTTGGGTTTGCCCTTATTTAAATTTTAATTTTTTCTTCTTGAAATTTGAGTTTATCCATTGAAACTCTTTGTATCAAATTAATCTTTTTACTTAAATACTAATTTAAATTTGATTCATAGTTGAAAATGCTAAACAAGCTTTTAAGAGAACTAAAATAATCCTACTCTAAGGGTTCTAAAAATTCTAGGGGGGAGCCGTGGCCCCCTTAGGCCATGGTGTAGCTCCGCCATGCTTTTAAGAGAACTAAAATAATCCTACTCTAAGGGTTCTAAAATTCTAGGGGGGAGCCGTGGCCCCCTTGGGCCATGGTGTAGCTCTGCCATGGCTCGTGCTACAATATTTGGTAAATAAAATTTCAAAAGCATGGTGTTACATTTCGATTCTTTTGGGATGTACAAGAGAGAAGAAACAAGTCAAGTATAAATCATCAGCGAACTTGCCACGTGGTTGGCATTCGAGTAATGTGGAAAACATAGGCCACTTGGTATGACGTTGACAGTAATCAAAGAAAGAATCAGGATAAGTTAACATGACTTGGAGTTCAAGAAAATATTAGTTGTCAGGATTTTGACATCATTAATTGTAGTTTTCTAATTAGTTTAGGATGGAATTTAGTAATGCAATTAAGACTGTTTCACTAAAACTATTTCGTAAATGAGTCCCTTTTAAGATTAATAAATAAAAATATTACCTTTTGTTAATCTTTCTTAAATCATTCTCTTTTACTTAAATTATGTCAATTATTTTTATACAAAAAAGTTCTGAAATAAAACAATTTATCATTTAAACAATTACTTGAAGTACGTCGTCCGTCGAAGGAGAACTACCAGGCAATCGCGAGAGATTTGGACCAACACAATGCGACAACCTTCCCTCAGATTGGCAACAACAATTCGTAATTTAATTTAAGCTTACACAACACATTCGATTTCAGATCAAAGCTTTGGAAGCCTTTGAGTCGCCTCCAATCCTTTGATCAAAATTAAGCCTCTCCGACCATCTTAAAAAGTTGGAGTTGTCTACGATATTGAATTTTTTTTTTTTTTTGTGTCTTATTGATATTTTTCACATTTGTGAGTACTTTTAGTACTATTGTGATAATTATAAATAATAATAAAAATAATTTTCACAACAATGAAAAAAACATACACAAAATAGTAAATTACTCGCAAAAGTGATAATTGTTTTTGTATAGAAGAAAAGTAATAAAAATAGTTACAACAACATTGGTAAAATTGTTGGACTAAGGCAAATTTTGGCAATTAAAATTTGATTTTTAGTCGACTTTGAGTCGAAATTAAAGTGAGACCTACTTGTTGTTTCTAGTAAATTTTCATGAGTTTTTGTTCTACTTCGGGAGAAAAATAATATAGTGTATTCACTTGCTCAAATCGCATATAAAATGAATGAGAAAATATGTTCTAAAGTAACTCATTTGGATTGTGAAAATAGAGATTGTGTAATGTAAGATTTGACACTAATCTCATATTGATTGACGAAAAATTTTTACTTATACATATATATGTCAAGTTTGTTCTCTATGAGATACCACACTCACTGTCTTCTACAAAATGTATTGTCATGTCATAGGGAATGACCTTATAGATGTGATAAGAGCTTTTTTCGCAGGGGCCACATGTTACATGCTCATAGAATTGAATAAAACATTTATCTGTCTCATCCCTAAATCTCCTAACCCTACCACTGTCCACCAATATAGACCCATTAATTTGTGTAATGTGACCAATAAGATTATCTCCAAAATCCTAGCTAATAGGATTAGGCCATTCCTTGACTAGATCATCTCCCCCACCCAAACAGCTTCTGTGTCTGACAAAAATATAGCTAAAAACCTAATCCTCGCCCTAGAAGTCATCCATCAGTTGAAGAGGAAAAAAGGAAAAGGTGCATTAATGGTTTTAAAACTAGATATGTCCAAGGCTTTTGATAGGATTGAGTGGTCACTCCTTGTCAAAATTCTATCGTTGATTGGTTTTCCTTTATAGTTCATCCAATTAGTTGAACAGTGCGTTTTCACCCCTCCTTCTCTGTCCTCGTTAATGGTGGTCTACTAGGAAACTTTACAGGGAACAATGCATTTAATTTCTGGAATCCGTTTGATTTAAATTCGCTCTAATTCAAATTTTTGCTTCTCTCCTTTCTGAATTTTTGAGTTGTATCTATTTAAATTTTTGAGTTCTCTTCAGTCTGAATGTAATTGTTTCGTTCTTACCTGTTCCTATTTCGTTCTTAATTATTACTGTTTTATTCTATATTGCATGATGCAAATCAAAAATCTTAATAAATGATTTTTTTTTCTGGTAAAGAATTGGATTGTATCCTGATTTTCATATCTTGACTTTTGAACTCCAAAAATTTGTCTGTATAGAGTTAAGATAAGATAAGATTGAAGTAATAAAAGTCCGTCGGATCTTTCGCAATTCAAGCAAATCAGGATGGACGCTATAGGAGAAACCACGGTGTACTCTGTATAGAACAAGCAAATCTTAAGAAGCAGACGCCACGAACTACTAGTTGGAGAGGAAGTCCATTACACGTTAGCTAATTCTAGAATAGCTAGACATTCTTGACTATGTTTCAGAATGGAAGAGAAGCCATGGAAGGAATTGAATTAACTATGTTGGATGAATGGAATGAATGGGAAAAAGCCCCCAATTTTCCTGAAGATTAAAAGTATACATTTTTATTTTAAGATCTAATTAGGTATCTAAGTCATGTGGTTTTAAAAACGTCGTTTGAACATTTGTTTTTATCATAAAAGACGTTAGTTCAACTAACGTAAAAACGTCATTTTAACCAACGTCTTCAAAATACCTTTTTTTTATTTAAAAAGCCACATAAATAAAAAAGAAAATCAAAAACAAATCTAAGGTAGTGGTAATAGAGACAAATTATAAATTCAGATATCTTGAGTTTGCATTTGAGTAATATCTCGAGGTTATATCATGAAAGATTTATTCCTCATAAATATTTTAATCTTGATGTGATGGTCTACCTTTAATTGGTCTAAAAATGAAATTAGTCGAGTTACGCATAAATTAATCCAAACAACCGTCGAACCAAAAACAAAAATCAAAAACACAATTTTTTTTAAGAGCTAATTAGGGATCTTAGGTCAATACAACAGTTAAAAACTGTCGGTTAAAATATTCCTACAACACTATCAGAAGAAAAGTCTTAACTCCCCCACCCTTCCCCCCAAACCTAAGTAGGATGGGTACATGTAGTGATGGCTCAAAACACTCGTTAATGTCCCTACTAGGGCTACTGGCCCGGATGTTCCATTTGCTTGGGGATACTGCTTCAAAGAAGAACAAGGCAACCCACCAGATTATTGTGTTGCAAATCAACAATGGCCATGCGTTCCGGGTAAGAAGTACTATGGTCGAGGCCCCATCCAAATCTCATAGTAAGTGTTTTCTTTTTCACTTTGGTTAGATAATCAACAGATTAGAACATGTTTTGCCCTCTTCTTATGAATTGCATCCATCACAAAACCTTAACTTTATAATTGGATATGTACCATGACTTGCCAGCAACTACAACTATGGTCCAGCAGGAAGACCCATTGGATTGAATCTGCTAAACAGCCCCGAAACCGTTGCAAACTATCCAGTAGTTTCTTTCAAGACAGCGTTGTGGTTTTGGATGACACCCCAATCGCCAAAACCTTCATGCCACGACGTCATCACCGGAACATGGAGGCCATCGGCAGCAGATACAGCAGCCTATTAATTAATTTCAACTCGAGTATATTGGGCCTATTAATTAATTCAGCCTATAAAATTAAAAAGCCCAAAAATTCAATTATTTGAAAAAAAAAGTTAATAGTAAAACTAACGCTACTAAAAATCAAGCCTTAAACAACCCCCCAAAAAAAAATCAAATTAAAATTTACCATTATACACTCTCTCTGTCTCTCCATCAAGTTCAAAAGATTAAATATATCAATCGTTTGAATATAAAAACTTAATATTTTTATATTATAAAAAAATAAATAAATAAATTAACAACTCATATTAAAAAAAAGTCTAATTTATTAATTCTGCTTTAGGCCCTAAAATATTTGGGACCGCCTTGGTTTTGGGACCCCTAAAAATGATCATCTATTTTTATAAAATTATAGGGTTATATATATTCCTTCATTCTTGAAATATAAAAAAAATGATAAAGAGAATAGAAAGTCCAGATATATATATATATATATATATATATATATATATATATATATATATACACGATCTCAAATAAATTTATCAAAAGACCACCTTCATCCTTAAAATGTCATCACCTGAAATATGGGAAGTTTTATTGATCATTTCCTTGATACAGACATATATTTGGCACCAAATTTACTATTTTGGTAAGCTAAACTATGCATATTTATTACTGCTTCATTACATTACAAGCATGTATGAAACATCTTATTCTCCTATCAGTGACTCTCAAGACAGCCCGATCGGTCCTTTAAATGCCTAAGCAAAAGGCCTTTGGTTGTAGCAATTCTTTGCAAGAAAATTCAATTCTTTGCAAGAAAACTTGATACAACCTTAATTATAATACTAAAATCAATCCTAAGCTAATACAAAAACTACTACTACTGATGCCCAAGTCATGAGAACTGTTATTTCTTGAATTTCAAAAGTCATATTTACTGATCATAATAACTTAATCATCCTTTCGCATCTTTGAATTTTCTCACGAGCTTAATCAATAGTGATATTTGTAGGATATTTGTGGAGATGATTGCGGTAAAGAGAATGCACCTTTTGGATAAGTTAGGCGGGACGATAAGGGTTTTTGTCGCCTTACGTGTTGAATAAGACACATGTATTACTGTTTAAAAACAGTCAAGATCCCAATCGGTGTCTAGAGGCTGCTTCTCAAGCTTTCCATCAAATCGTTCTTGTATTACCAGTTAAAAACACCCCGAGTACTATGGTAAAGAAAAGGATTGATAAGTATTTTTGGTTCCATAAATTTTTTGTTAATTTAATTTTTATTATATTAATTTTATTAATTTGATTCTTAAAATATTCAAATTCGTGTCACTTTAGTTTTTAATCAGACAATCTATCAAGTTTTTTTACGAAAATGATCACGTCTCATTTTTTTAGACGGTATCATGTGCTCAACACGTGATCATTCAGTCAAAAATTTAATGGTTCGTCTCTGCACAAGTATAGAGTGACAATTTCTGACACAACACGAAAACATGACTTGAAATTGACACAAAATTAACATGTTAAGGTTAACTATTTCTCGATACGAACCCGTATATGACACGAGTCGTTAATACGAATAATAAATGAGTTGGATTAGTATCAAATACGATCAATACATTTAAATAGTATTATAAGAATAAAATGTTAATTTTTATTATATTTTATCAAGTAGAGACCTAATTTGTGTACCAAAAAAATATATATTTTTATTCATTTTTAATATTATATTTATTAAATTAATTTTTAATTTAGAGAAAAAATATGATCAAAAGTTTGATTAAGCGATAATAAAATTTTATACATATTTAAGGTGACAATCGAGTCATGTCGTGTCAGATTTGTGTTATTATAAGTTTTTTATATTTCTTACTCGCGTAACAAGTCAATTTCAAATTCGTGTCGAGTTATTATCAAATTCGTGTCATAAAATTCGTGTCCAATTCCAATCATGTCATCGTGTTGAATAGAAAATTTTCATCCCTAAAATATGAAAAAAAAATATTTTTTTTAATTTAAAATATTTTTTTATTTTTAAATTTTTAAAAAGTATATATATATACATATTTTATTATTGTATTTTTATATGAAATTAATGTATACATTATATATAGACAAATAAGATACATCTAAATACAAATAATTAACTTTCTATCCATTTTCTTTCCGATTTTGGAGGGAATGATTTGGTAAGTTGAAAGAAAAGTTAATTCATCAACCTTTTCATCCTTACTATTTTCTTTCCTTACAAAACATGATATTTTATTTATTCATCTAATTTTCTATCCTTCTAATTTTTCATTCTTCCATTTTGTCATCATACCAAACGGGGCATTAAGGTTTAACTCCTTTATATGTATCACTAATTATCTCCTCCCCTGGTGCATTGTGGCCTTGCATGTCATTTTTCGAACATACAGGAGAGCCTAAGTAGCATAGAGTAATACTGGACTGATCAAACACGATATCAAAAACAAAGACCGGGTTAATTAAATTAGAATTTTAAGGAAAATAAAAGTTGAATCAGAAGCAAAAAATCATTATGGTAGCAAATTATAGGTCCCAATAGCATTACTCCTATCTTATTAACATGTGGGTCAGCACATGGTTGCCAACATTACTGTAAGAAACATTATACCTGTGGTTTCATGGGATGTTTGTGCCAAAAAGGCAGCAATTTCTCTCTTACGAATGTCTGTAGCACCAGTTGTTCCAAAAGCTCCAAATGACTTGGCTGCAGATACGAAAGCATCATAAGTGTAGAACCCTTTCGCAAGGCAAGCCGCATCATTCCGATGCTTCAACATCTGATCAAATTGGGTTCTACTGATGATCGAACCGACATCGCCTTGGGACAAGGCTTCTATGATAGACAAGAAACAGAACAACGCCACACCCCAAAACCTCATTTTTTCTCTCTCCCGCTTTATTTTGGCTTAATTGGTGTCTCTTAATATGTGGGTTTTAGCGTAGAAGAGGTGGGGTATATATAGGAATGGTTTTGATGGGTTGGGTTTGGGTTTGCATTTTTTTTTGGGGGGGTGGGGGGAGAGAGACTTTTCTTTTAATAGGATATTTTAACCATTGATTATCAGTTTTTAATTTCTAACGATGTCGAGTCATCACTACACATACCAATCTTAATTAGTGGTCGCGAATAGATGCCATAAGGAAGACTTGGGTTTGGGTTTGCATGTGGGGTGGGGGGAGAGAGACTTTTCTTTTAATAGGATATTTTAACCATTGATTATCGGTTTTCAATTTCTAACGATGTGGAGCCATCACTACATGTATCAATCTTAATTAGGGGTCGTGAATAAACGTCGTAAGCAAGACTCTAACCACTGATATTTTTAAGTAGGACAATGAAAGTTCATATTCGATACATTTCTTTTCTTCTTCAATTGATCATAGTTATGTTATTCCATGACTCCCACTACACTTTTCTTTTGATAATATTAATGTTGGGATATTTTAACCATTGATTGACAGATTTTAAAAGTTGTATTAACCGCAATCTCTAATTATGTCCTAAAAAATNTATCCATTGAAACTCTTTGTATCAAATTAATCTTTTTACTTAAATACTAATTTAAATTTGATTCATAGTTGAAAATGCTAAACAAGCTTTTAAGAGAACTAAAATAATCCTACTCTAAGGGTTCTAAAAATTCTAGGGGGGAGCCGTGGCCCCCTTAGGCCATGGTGTAGCTCCGCCATGCTTTTAAGAGAACTAAAATAATCCTACTCTAAGGGTTCTAAAAATTCTAGGGGGGAGCCGTGGCCCCCTTAGGCCATGGTGTAGCTCCGCCATGCTTTTAAGCGAACTAAAATAATCCTACTCTAAGGGTTCTAAAATTCTAGGGGGGAGCCGTGGCCCGCTTAGGCCATGGTGTAACTCTGCCATGGCTCGTGCTACAATATTTGGTAAATAAAATTTCAAAAGCATGGTGTTACATTTCGATTCTTTTGGGATGTACAAGAGAGAAGAAACAAGTCAAGTATAAATCATCAGCGAACTTGCCACGTGGTTGGCATTCGAGTAATGTGGAAAACATAGGCCACTTGGTATGACGTTGACAGTAATCAAAGAAAGAATCAGGATAAGTTAACATGACTTGGAGTTCAAGAAAATATTAGTTGTCAGGATTTTGACATCATTAATTGTAGTTTTCTAATTAGTTTAGGATGGAATTTAGTAATGCAATTAAGACTGTTTCACTAAAACTATTTCGTAAATGAGTCCCTTTTAAGATTAATAAATAAAAATATTACCTTTTGTTAATCTTTCTTAAATCATTCTCTTTTACTTAAATTAGGTCAATTATTTTTATACAAAAAAGTTCTGAAATAAAACAATTTATCATTTAAACAATTACTTGAAGTACGTCGTCCGTAGAAGGAGAACTACCAGGCAATCGCGAGAGATTTGGACCAACACAATGCGACAACCTTCCCTCAGATTGGCAACAACAATTCGTAATTTAATTTAAGCTTACACAACACATTCGATTTCAGATCAAAGCTTTGGAAGCCTTTGAGTCGCCTCCAATCCTTTGATCAAAATTAAGCCTCTCCGACCATCTTAAAAAGTTGGAGTTGTCTACGATATTAAATTTTTTTTTTTTTGTGTCTTATTGATATTTTTCACATTTGTGAGTACTTTTAGTACTATTGTGATAATTATAAATAATAATAAAAATAATTTTCACAACAATGAAAAAAACATACACAAAATAGTAAATTACTCGCAAAAGTGATAATTGTTTTTGTATAGAAGAAAAGTAATAAAAATAGTTACAACAACATTGGTAAAATTGTTGGACTAAGGCAAATTTTGGCAATTAAAATTTGATTTTTAGTCGACTTTGAGTCGAAATTAAAGTGAGAACTACTTGTTGTTTCTAGTAAATTTTCATGGGTTTGTGTTTTACTTCGGGAGAAAAATAATATAGTGTATTCACTTGCTCAAATCGCATATAAAATGAATGAGAAAATATGTTCTAAAGTAACTCATTTGGATTGTGAAAATAGAGATTGTGTAATGTAGGATTTGACACTAATCTCATATTGATTGACGAAAATTTTTTACTTATACATACATATGTCAAGTTTGTTCTCTATGAGATACCACACTTTTATGAGAAGAACGAACGCCTACATATCATCGATTTCGACCACACACAAGTCACCCCGTTGGGTTCAAGTGTGAGTATGGTCTTGATGGGATGTCCACTGTCTTCTACAAAATGTATTGTCATGTCATAAGGAATGACCTTATAGATGTGATAAGAGCTTTTTTCGCAGGGGCTACATATCATCGATTTCGACCACACACAAGTCACCCCGCTGGGTTCAAGTGTGAGTATGGTCTTGATGGGATGTCCACTGTCTTCTACAAAATGTATTGTCATGTCATAAGGAATGACCTTATAGATGTGATAAGAGCTTTTTTCGCAGGGGCTACATATCATCGATTTCGACCACACACAAGTCACCCCGCTGGGTTCAAGTGTGAGTATGGTCTTGATGGGATGTCCACTGTCTTCTACAAAATGTATTGTCATGTCATAAGGAATGACCTTATAGATGTGATAAGAGCTTTTTTCGCAGGGGCCACATGCTACATGCTCATAGAATTGAATAAAACATTTATCTGTCTCATCCCTAAATCTCCTAATCCTACCACTGTCCACCAATATAGACCCATTAATTTGTGTAATGTGACCAATAAGATTATCTCCAAAATCCTAGCTAATAGGATTAGGCCATTCCTTGACTAGATCATCTCCCCCACCCAAACAGCTTTTGTGTCTGACAAAAATATAGCTGAAAACCTAGTCCTCGCCATAGAAGTCATCCATCAGTTGAAGAGGAAAAAAGGAAAAGGTGCATTAATGGTTTTAAAACTAGATATGTCCAAGGCTTTTGATAGGATTGAGTGGTCACTCCTTGTCAAAATTCTATCGTTGATTGGTTTCCCTTTGCAGTTCATCCAATTAGTTGAACAGCGTGTTTTCACCCCACCTTCTCTGTCCTCGTTAACGATGGTCTACTAGGAAACTTTACAGGGAACAGTGCATTTAATTTTTGGTATCCGTTTGATTTAAATTCGCTCTAGTTCAAATTTTTGCTTCTCTCCTTTCTGAATTTTTGAGTTGTATCTATTTAAATTTTTGAGTTCTCTTCAGTCCGAATGTAATTGTTTCGTTCTTACCTGTTCCTATTTCGTTCTTAATTATTACCGTTTTATTCTATATTGCATGATGCAAATCAAAAAATTTAATAAATAATTTTTTTTTCTGGTAAAGAATTGGATTGTATCCTGATTTTCATATCTTGACTTTTGAACTCCAAAAATTTGTCTGTATAGAGTTAAGATAAGATAAGATTGAAGTAATAAAAGTCCGTCGGATCTTTCGCAATTCAAGCAAATCAGGATGGACGCTATAGGAGAAACCACGGTGTACTCTGTATAGAACAAGCAAATCTTAAGAAGCAGACGCCACGAACTACTAGTTGGAGAGGAAGTCCATTACACGTTAGCTAATTCTAGAATAGCTAGACATTCTTGACTATGTTTCAGAATGGAAGAGAAGCCATGGAAGGAATTGAATTAACTATGTTGGATGAATGGAATGAATGGGAAAAAGCCCCCAATTTTCCTGAAGATTAAAAATATACATTTTTATTTAAAGATCTAATTAGGTATCTAAGTCATGTGGTTTTAAAAACGTCGTTTGAACATTTGTTTTTATCATAAAAGACGTTAGTTCAACTAACGTAAAAACGTCATTTCAACCAACGTCTTCAAAATACCTTTTTTTTATTTAAAAAGCCACATAAATAAAAAAGAAAATCAAAAACAAATCTAAGGTAGTGGTAATAGAGACAAATTATAAATTCAGATATCTTGAGTTTGCATTTGAGTAATATCTCGAGGTTATATCATGAAAGATTTATTCCTCATAAATATTTTAATCTTCATGTGATGGTCTACCTTTAATTGGTCTAAAAATGAAATTAGTCGAGTTACGCATAAATTAATCCAAACAACCGTCGAACCAAAAACAAAAATCAAAAACACAATTTTTTTTAAGAGCTAATTAGGGATCTTAGGTCAATACAACAGTTAAAAACTGTCGGTTAAAATATTCCTACAACACTATCAGAAGAAAAGTCTTAACTCCCCCACCCTTCCCCCCAAACCTAAGTAGGATGGGTACATGTAGTGATGGCTCAAAACACTCGTTAATGTCCCTACTAGGGCTACTGGCCCGGATGTTCCATTTGCTTGGGGATACTGCTTCAAAGAAGAACAAGGCAACCCACCAGATTATTGTGTTGCAAATCAACAATGGCCATGCGTTCCGGGTAAGAAGTACTATGGTCGAGGCCCCATCCAAATCTCATAGTAAGTGTTTTCTTTTTCACTTTGGTTAGATAATCAACAGATTAGAACATGTTTTGCCCTCTTCTTATGAATTGCATCCATCACAAAACCTTAACTTTATAATTGGATATGTACCATGACTTGCCAGCAACTACAACTATGGTCCAGCAGGAAGACCCATTGGATTGAATCTGCTAAACAGCCCCGAAACCGTTGCAAACTATCCAGTAGTTTCTTTCAAGACAGCGTTGTGGTTTTGGATGACACCCCAATCGCCAAAACCTTCATGCCACGACGTCATCACCGGAACATGGAGGCCATCGGCAGCAGATACAGCAGCCGGTCGTGTCCCTGGCTATGGTGTGATCACCAATATCATCAACGGTGGAATTGAATGTGGTAAAGGTTCTAACCCACAGGTGGAGGATCGGATCGGTTTCTACAAAAGATACTGTGACATACTAGGAGTAGGCTATGGCAACAATCTGGATTGCTACAACCAGAGGCCTTTTGCTTAGGCATTTAAAGGGACCGCTCGAGCCGTCTCCAGAGTTACTTACAGGAATAAGATGCTTCATACATGCTTGTAATATAATGAAGCAGTAATAAATATGCATAGTTTGGCTTACCAAAATAGTAATTTGGTGCCAAATATATGTCTGTATCAAGGAAATGATGAATAAAACTTCCCATATTTCAGATATATTGAATCTAATAGTTAAGTATGTTGGGTTTCCCTCCTTTGTGGGACTCATCAATTTGCTAATTTTTTGGTGGNTATTTTTATTCATTTTTAATATTATATTTATTAAATTAATTTTTAATTTAGAGAAAAAATATGATCAAAAGTTTGATTAAGCGATAATAAAATTTTATACATATTTAAGGTGACAATCGAGTCATGTCGTGTCAGATTTGTGTTATTATAAGTTTTTTATATTTCTTACTCGCGTAACAAGTCAATTTCAAATTCGTGTCGAGTTATTATCAAATTCGTGTCATAAAATTCGTGTCCAATTCCAATCATGTCATCGTGTTGAATAGAAAATTTTCATCCCTAAAATATGAAAAAAAAATATTTTTTTTAATTTAAAATATTTTTTTATTTTTAAATTTTTAAAAAGTATATATATATACATATTTTATTATTGTATTTTTATATGAAATTAATGTATACATTATATATAGACAAATAAGATACATCTAAATACAAATAATTAACTTTCTATCCATTTTCTTTCCGATTTTGGAGGGAATGATTTGGTAAGTTGAAAGAAAAGTTAATTCATCAACCTTTTCATCCTTACTATTTTCTTTCCTTACAAAACATGATATTTTATTTATTCATCTNAGTTAATAGTAAAACTAACGCTACTAAAAATCAAGCCTTAAACAACCCCCCAAAAAAAAATCAAATTAAAATTTACCATTATACACTCTCTCTGTCTCTCCATCAAGTTCAAAAGATTAAATATATCAATCGTTTGAATATAAAAACTTAATATTTTTATATTATAAAAAAATAAATAAATAAATTAACAACTCATATTAAAAAAAAGTCTAATTTATTAATTCTGCTTTAGGCCCTAAAATATTTGGGACCGCCTTGGTTTTGGGACCCCTAAAAATGATCATCTATTTTTATAAAATTATAGGGTTATATATATTCCTTCATTCTTGAAATATAAAAAAAATGATAAAGAGAATAGAAAGTCCAGATATATATATATATATATATATATATATATATATATATATATATATACACGATCTCAAATAAATTTATCAAAAGACCACCTTCATCCTTAAAATGTCATCACCTGAAATATGGGAAGTTTTATTGATCATTTCCTTGATACAGACATATATTTGGCACCAAATTTACTATTTTGGTAAGCTAAACTATGCATATTTATTACTGCTTCATTACATTACAAGCATGTATGAAACATCTTATTCTCCTATCAGTGACTCTCAAGACAGCCCGATCGGTCCTTTAAATGCCTAAGCAAAAGGCCTTTGGTTGTAGCAATTCTTTGCAAGAAAATTCAATTCTTTGCAAGAAAACTTGATACAACCTTAATTATAATACTAAAATCAATCCTAAGCTAATACAAAAACTACTACTACTGATGCCCAAGTCATGAGAACTGTTATTTCTTGAATTTCAAAAGTCATATTTACTGATCATAATAACTTAATCATCCTTTCGCATCTTTGAATTTTCTCACGAGCTTAATCAATAGTGATATTTGTAGGATATTTGTGGAGATGATTGCGGTAAAGAGAATGCACCTTTTGGATAAGTTAGGCGGGACGATAAGGGTTTTTGTCGCCTTACGTGTTGAATAAGACACATGTATTACTGTTTAAAAACAGTCAAGATCCCAATCGGTGTCTAGAGGCTGCTTCTCAAGCTTTCCATCAAATCGTTCTTGTATTACCAGTTAAAAACACCCCGAGTACTATGGTAAAGAAAAGGATTGATAAGTATTTTTGGTTCCATAAATTTTTTGTTAATTTAATTTTTATTATATTAATTTTATTAATTTGATTCTTAAAATATTCAAATTCGTGTCACTTTAGTTTTTAATCAGACAATCTATCAAGTTTTTTTACGAAAATGATCACGTCTCATTTTTTTAGACGGTATCATGTGCTCAACACGTGATCATTCAGTCAAAAATTTAATGGTTCGTCTCTGCACAAGTATAGAGTGACAATTTCTGACACAACACGAAAACATGACTTGAAATTGACACAAAATTAACATGTTAAGGTTAACTATTTCTCGATACGAACCCGTATATGACACGAGTCGTTAATACGAATAATAAATGAGTTGGATTAGTATCAAATACGATCAATACATTTAAATAGTATTATAAGAATAAAATGTTAATTTTTATTATATTTTATCAAGTAGAGACCTAATTTGTGTACCAAAAAAATATATATTTTTATTCATTTTTAATATTATATTTATTAAATTAATTTTTAATTTAGAGAAAAAATATGATCAAAAGTTTGATTAAGCGATAATAAAATTTTATACATATTTAAGGTGACAATCGAGTCATGTCGTGTCAGATTTGTGTTATTATAAGTTTTTTATATTTCTTACTCGCGTAACAAGTCAATTTCAAATTCGTGTCGAGTTATTATCAAATTCGTGTCATAAAATTCGTGTCCAATTCCAATCATGTCATCGTGTTGAATAGAAAATTTTCATCCCTAAAATATGAAAAAAAAATATTTTTTTTAATTTAAAATATTTTTTTATTTTTAAATTTTTAAAAAGTATATATATATACATATTTTATTATTGTATTTTTATATGAAATTAATGTATACATTATATATAGACAAATAAGATACATCTAAATACAAATAATTAACTTTCTATCCATTTTCTTTCCGATTTTGGAGGGAATGATTTGGTAAGTTGAAAGAAAAGTTAATTCATCAACCTTTTCATCCTTACTATTTTCTTTCCTTACAAAACATGATATTTTATTTATTCATCTAATTTTCTATCCTTCTAATTTTTCATTCTTCCATTTTGTCATCATACCAAACGGGGCATTAAGGTTTAACTCCTTTATATGTATCACTAATTATCTCCTCCCCTGGTGCATTGTGGCCTTGCATGTCATTTTTCGAACATACAGGAGAGCCTAAGTAGCATAGAGTAATACTGGACTGATCAAACACGATATCAAAAACAAAGACCGGGTTAATTAAATTAGAATTTTAAGGAAAATAAAAGTTGAATCAGAAGCAAAAAATCATTATGGTAGCAAATTATAGGTCCCAATAGCATTACTCCTATCTTATTAACATGTGGGTCAGCACATGGTTGCGAACATTACTGTAAGAAACATTATACCTGTGGTTTCATGGGATGTTTGTGCCAAAAAGGCAGCAATTTCTCTCTTACGAATGTCTGTAGCACCAGTTGTTCCAAAAGCTCCAAATGACTTGGCTGCAGATACGAAAGCATCATAAGTGTAGAACCCTTTCGCAAGGCAAGCCGCATCATTCCGATGCTTCAACATCTGATCAAATTGGGTTCTACTGATGATCGAACCGACATCGCCTTGAGACAAGGCTTCTATGATAGACAAGAAACAGAACAACGCCACACCCCAAAACCTCATTTTTTCTCTCTCCCGCTTTATTTTGGCTTAATTGGTGTCTCTTAATATGTGGGTTTTAGCGTAGAAGAGGTGGGGTATATATAGGAATGGTTTTGATGGGTTGGGTTTGGGTTTGCATTTTTTTTTGGGGGGGTGGGGGGAGAGAGACTTTTCTTTTAATAGGATATTTTAACCATTGATTATCAGTTTTTAATTTCTAACGATGTCGAGTCATCACTACACATACCAATCTTAATTAGTGGTCGCGAATAGATGCCATAAGGAAGACTTGGGTTTGGGTTTGCATGTGGGGTGGGGGAAGCGAGACTTTTCTTCTGATATAGACATTTTAACCATTGATTATCGATTTTCAATTTCTAACGATGTGGAGTCATCACTACATGTATCAATCTTAATTAGGGGTCGTGAACAAACGTCATAAGCAAGACTCTAACCACTGATATTTTTAAGTAGGACAATGAAAGTTCATATTCGATACATTTCTTTTCTTCTTCAATTGATCATAGTTATGTTATTCCATGACTCCCACTACACTTTTCTTTTGATAATATTAATGTTGGGATATTTTAACCATTGATTGACAGATTTTAAAAGTTGTATTAACCGCAATCTCTAATTATGTCCTAAAAAATACGTGTGTTTTTGAGTTATCACTACATGCATCCATCTTGATTTGCTTGAATCGGGGAAGATGGGATTTGAGCAATCTTACCAATACAAACAAATTTTGGGGTCCAAACTTCAAGACACGAAAAATGGGTACAGTCTAATTCTTTACAAGAAAACTTGATACAACCTTAATTACAACACTAAAATCTATCCTAAACTAATATAAAAACCACTACTAATGATGCCCAAGTCATGAGAACTGTTATTTCTTGAATTTAAAGAGTCATATTAACTGATCCTAATTCTTTCNTTTTGAATTTCAAGAGTCATATTAACTGATCCTAATTCTTTCTTTTGATTACTGATATCCCTTATAATAACTTAATCATCTTTTCGTAAATAGCTCCAATCTTAAAACTATTACTCTTCAAATTTCAAACGTCATACCGACTGGCCTATCTTTTCCACATTACTCAGAATGCCAACCACGTGGCAAGTTCTTTGAAGATTTTTTCGTGACATGTGTCTTTCCTTGTACATCCCAAAGTAACATATTTACCGTCCCTGGATGTTTTTAATTTTCTCATGAGCTTAATCAAGAGAATGTACCTTGGACCCGAAAAGAATGTACCATTTGGACAAGTTAGGCAGGACTATAAGGGTATTTGTCGCCTTGCGTGTTGAATAAGACACTTGTATTACAGTCAAGATTCTCAGTCGGTGTCTAGAGACCTTTCCATCAAATCTTTCTCGTACCATCAGTTAAAAACACCCCAAGTACTATGGTAAAGAAAAGGATTGATAAGTATTTTTGGTTCTTCAAGAATGTATTTTTTGTTAATTTAATTTTTATTGTATTAAATTTTTTTAATTTGGTCCTTATAATATTTAAATTCGTGTCATTTTGGTCATTAATCACACAATTTTTTAATTCTTTTATGGAAGAGATCATGTGTTATTTTTTTAGACGGGATCATATTTTCAACACATGATCATTCAATCAAAAATTTAATAGTTCTTTTCTATACAAGCGTAACATAGTAATTTCTGACACAACACAAAAACACGACTTGAAATAAACACAAAATTTTGAGTTAGGTTAGTTATTTCTCAACACAAATTCGTATATAACACGATCCCTTAACACGAACAATAAATAGGTTGAATTAGTATCAAATACAATCAATACATTTAAATATTATTATAAGAATAAAATATCAATTTTTATTATATTTTATCAAGTAGTGACCTAATTTGTGTACAAAAAAAAATATTTTTACTCATTATTATTATTATATTTATTGAATTAATTTTTAATTTAGAGAAAAAATATGAGCAAAAGTTTGATTAAGAGATAAAAAAATTTTATACATAAAATAGAGGGTTAAATTTTTTATTGACGGGTTATATCGGCTAACACAAAGATAACATGAAAATACATAAATCAACACGACACTATTAATTAAATAAGTTGAATTAAAATTAATTAATATTCAACATAAAATTAAAATAACCTGATACCAACGCGACGGACGAACTATGGAAGTGTAGTCTAGCTAAATGACTGATGGGTACGTGTGATTTTGCAAATACCTAATCAACCCAACCTATTAGCTTTGACCATATCTTCTGGTTCCCTTCCTACACGAAACTTCTTTTTTTATTTTATTTTTCAATTGCCAATCACAAAAGGATTGGTAAGTGTTCGATTGAATAGTTTATTTGATTAAAGGGGCTTACAAATAGTCATTATATAAGTAAAGAAGATTTATATTGAAGATTTACCCCAAAAAAAATATTCTATTAGGGGTCCATTTCTATACTAAGGGTATCTTCAACCCTAACTCAAATTTAAATTTGAGTAAAAAAATTTTAAAAATTTGCTCTAATTTTTATTCAAATTTATACCAAATCAAGGGAGACTATTTTTTTTTTACTCAACATCTCAAACTATGACTTAAATTTTTACTCAAATTTAAGTTAGCATTTGAGTAAAAAGTTTGATTTGATACGAAGGACTTCAATTGACAAACTTAAATTTAAAGAATGAGACACTTTAATTTAAATGAGAACAAACTCAAAATTAAATGAGAGTAAAGATGACCATTAGATCTTTAAATTATGGTAAAATCTCATCATTAAATATGTGAGTAAGGATTTGAGTCTCCCTTAATTTGAATAAAAAAAAAGTCTCTTGATTTGGTATAAGTTTGAGTAAGGGTTGGAACAAGTTTTTAAATTTTTTTTATTTAAATTTAAATTAATATTTGAGTAAAAAACTTGATTTGATATAAAGGACTTCGATGGACAAACTCAAATTTAAAAAATGAGAGATCCAAATTTAAATGAGGGCAAACACAAATTAAAAGAGAGTAAAGATGACTATTGGATCTTTAAAAAATTCTGAAATTTTACCATTAAAGATTTGAGTAAAGATTTGAGTCTCTCTTACTTTGAATAAAAAAATGAGTTTCCTTGATTTTGTATATGTTTGAGTCAATGATTGAAACAAGTTTTTTAGACTTTTTTACTCAAATTTAAATTTGAGTAAGGGTTGGAGATGCCCTTAGAGAGACTCAAATTCTTACTCAAATCTTTAATGATGAGATTTCACCATCTTTTAAAAATTCAATTGTCATCTTTACTCTCATTTAATTTTGGGTTTGCCCTTTTTTAAATTTTAATTTTTTATTCTTAAAATTTGAGTTTGTCCATTGAAGCTCTTTGTATCAAATTAATCTTTTTACTTAAATACTAATTTAAATTTGAATCATAGTTGAAAATGCTAAACAGGCTTTTAAGAGAACTAAAATAATCCTACTCCAAGGGTTCTAAAAATTTTAGGGGGGAGCCGTGGCCCCCTTAGGCCATGGTGTAGCTCCGCCATGCTTTTAAGAGAACTAAAATAATCCTACTCTAAGGGTTCTAAAATTCTAGGGGGGAGCCGTGGCCCCCTTGGGCCATGGTGTAGCTCTGCCATGGCTCGTGCTACAATATTTGGTAAATAAAATTTCAAAAGCATGGTGTTACATTTCGATTCTTTTGGGATGTACAAGAGAGAAGAAACAAGTCAAGTATAAATCATCAGCGAACTTGCCACGTGGTTGGCATTCGAGTAATGTGGAAAACATAGGCCACTTGGTATGACGTTGACAGTAATCAAAGAAAGAATCAGGATAAGTTAACATGACTTGGAGTTCAAGAAAATATTAGTTGTCAGGATTTTGACATCATTAATTGTAATTTTCTAATTAGTTTAGGATGGAATTTAGTAATGCAATTAAGACTGTTTCACTAAAAATATTTCGTAAATGAGTCCCTTTTAAGATTAATAAATAAAAATATTACCTTTTGTTAATCTTTCTTAAATCATTCTCTTTTACTTAAATTATGTCAATTATTTTTATACAAAAAAGTTCTGAAATAAAACAATTTATCATTTAAACAATTACTTGAAGTACGTCGTCCGTCGAAGGAGAACTATCGGGCAATCGCGAGAGATTTGGACCAACACAATGCGACAACCTTCCCTCAGATTGGCAACAACAATTCGTAATTTAATTTAAGCTTACACAACACATTCGATTTCAGATCAAAGCTTTGGAAGCCTTTGAGTCGCCTCCAATCCTTTGATCAAAATTAAGCCTCTCCGACCATCTTAAAAAGTTGGAGTTGTCTACGATATTAAATTTTTTTTTTTTTGTGTCTTATTGATATTTTTCACATTTGTGAGTATTTTTAGTACTATTGTGATAATTATAAATAATAATAAAAATAATTTTCACAACAATGAAAAAAACATACACAAAATAGTAAATTACTCGCAAAAGTGATAATTGTTTTTGTATAGAAGAAAAGTAATAAAAATAGTTACAACAACATTGGTAAAATTGTTGGACTAAGGCAAATTTTGGCAATTAAAATTTGATTTTTAGTCGACTTTGAGTCGAAATTAAAGTGAGAACTACTTGTTGTTTCTAGTAAATTTTCATGGGTTTGTGTTTTACTTCGGGAGAAAAATAATATAGTGTATTCACTTGCTCAAATCGCATATAAAATGAATGAGAAAATATGTTCTAAAATAACTCATTTGGATTGTGAAAATAGAGATTGTGTAATGTAGGATTTGACACTAATCTCATATTGATTGACGAAAATTTTTTACTTATACATACATATGTCAAGTTTGTTCTCTATGAGATACCACACTTTTATGAGAAGAACGAACGCCTACATATCATCGATTTCGACCACACACAAGTCACCCCGTTGGGTTCAAGTGTGAGTATGGTCTTGATGGGATGTCCACTGTCTTCTACAAAATGTATTGTCATGTCATAAGGAATGACCTTATAGATGTGATAAGAGCTTTTTTCGCAGGGGCTACATATCATCGATTTCGACCACACACAAGTCACCCCGCTGGGTTCAAGTGTGAGTATGGTCTTGATGGGATGTCCACTGTCTTCTACAAAATGTATTGTCATGTCATAAGGAATGACCTTATAGATGTGATAAGAGCTTTTTTCGCAGGGGCTACATATCATCGATTTCGACCACACACAAGTCACCCCGTTGGGTTCAAGTGTGAGTATGGTCTTGATGGGATGTCCACTGTCTTCTACAAAATGTATTGTCATGTCATAAGGAATGACCTTATAGATGTGATAAGAGCTTTTTTCGCAGGGGCTACATATCATCGATTTCGACCACACACAAGTCACCCCGTTGGGTTCAAGTGTGAGTATGGTCTTGATGGGATGTCCACTGTCTTCTACAAAATGTATTGTCATGTCATAAGGAATGACCTTATAGATGTGATAAGAGCTTTTTTCGCAGGGGCTACATATCATCGATTTCGACCACACACAAGTCACCCCGTTGGGTTCAAGTGTGAGTATGGTCTTGATGGGATGTCCACTGTCTTCTACAAAATGTATTGTCATGTCATAAGGAATGACCTTATAGATGTGATAAGAGCTTTTTTCGCAGGGGCTACATATCATCGATTTCGACCACACACAAGTCACCCCGTTGGGTTCAAGTGTGAGTATGGTCTTGATGGGATGTCCACTGTCTTCTACAAAATGTATTGTCATGTCATAAGGAATGACCTTATAGATGTGATAAGAGCTTTTTTCGCAGGGGCCACATGCTACATGCTCATAGAATTGAATAAAACATTTATCTGTCTCATCCCTAAATCTCCTAATCCTACCACTGTCCACCAATATAGACCCATTAATTTGTGTAATGTGACCAATAAGATTATCTCCAAAATCCTAGCTAATAGGATTAGGCCATTCCTTGACTAGATCATCTCCCCCACCCAAACAGCTTTTGTGTCTGACAAAAATATAGCTGAAAACCTAGTCCTCGCCCTAGAAGTCATCCATCAGTTGAAGAGGAAAAAAGGAAAAGGTGCATTAATGGTTTTAAAACTAGATATGTCCAAGGTTTTTGATAGGATTGAGTGGTCACTCCTTGTCAAAATTCTATCGTTGATTGGTTTCCCTTTGCAGTTCATCCAATTAGTTGAACAGCGTGTTTTCACCCCACCTTCTCTGTCCTCGTTAACGATGGTCTACTAGGAAACTTTACAGGGAACAGTGCATTTAATTTTTGGTATCCGTTTGATTTAAATTCGCTCTAGTTCAAATTTTTGCTTCTCTCCTTTCTGAATTTTTGAGTTGTATCTATTTAAAATTTTGAGTTCTCTTCAGTCCGAATGTAATTGTTTCGTTCTTACCTGTTCCTATTTCGTTCTTAATTATTACCGTTTTATTCTATATTGCATGATGCAAATCAAAAAATTTAATAAATGATTTTTTTTTCTGGTAAAGAATTGGATTGTATCCTGATTTTCATATCTTGACTTTTGAACTCCAAAAATTTGTCTGTATAGAGTTAAGATAAGATAAGATTGAAGTAATAAAAGTCCGTCGGATCTTTCGCAATTCAAGCAAATCAGGATGGACGCTATAGGAGAAACCACAGTGTACTCTGTATAGAACAAGCAAATCTTAAGAAGCAGACGCCACGAACTACTAGTTGGAGAGGAAGTCCATTACACGTTAGCTAATTCTAGAATAGCTAGACATTCTTGACTATGTTTCAGAATGGAAGAGAAGCCATGGAAGGAATTGAATTAACTATGTTGGATGAATGGAATGAATGGGAAAAAGCCCCCAATTTTCCTGAAGATTAAAAATATACATTTTTATTTAAAGATCTAATTAGGTATCTAAGTCATGTGGTTTTAAAAACGTCGTTTGAACATTTGTTTTTATCATAAAAGACGTTAGTTCAACTAACGTAAAAACGTCATTTCAACCAACGTCTTCAAAATACCTTTTTTTTATTTAAAAAGCCACATAAATAAAAAAGAAAATCAAAAACAAATCTAAGGTAGTGGTAATAGAGACAAATTATAAATTCAGATATCTTGAGTTTGCATTTGAGTAATATCTCGAGGTTATATCATGAAAGATTTATTCCTCATAAATATTTTAATCTTCATGTGATGGTCTACCTTTAATTGGTCTAAAAATGAAATTAGTCGAGTTACGCATAAATTAATCCAAACAACCGTCGAACCAAAAACAAAAATCAAAAACACAATTTTTTTTAAGAGCTAATTAGGGATCTTAGGTCAATACAACAGTTAAAAACTGTCGGTTAAAATATTCCTACAACACTATCAGAAGAAAAGTCTTAACTCCCCCACCCTTCCCCCCAAACCTAAGTAGGATGGGTACATGTAGTGATGGCTCAAAACACTCGTTAATGTCCCTACTAGGGCTACTGGCCCGGATGTTCCATTTGCTTGGGGATACTGCTTCAAAGAAGAACAAGGCAACCCACCAGATTATTGTGTTGCAAATCAACAATGGCCATGCGTTCCGGGTAAGAAGTACTATGGTCGAGGCCCCATCCAAATCTCATAGTAAGTGTTTTCTTTTTCACTTTGGTTAGATAATCAACAGATTAGAACATGTTTTGCCCTCTTCTTATGAATTGCATCCATCACAAAACCTTAACTTTATAATTGGATATGTACCATGACTTGCCAGCAACTACAACTATGGTCCAGCAGGAAGACCCATTGGATTGAATCTGCTAAACAGCCCCGAAACCGTTGCAAACTATCCAGTAGTTTCTTTCAAGACAGCGTTGTGGTTTTGGATGACACCCCAATCGCCAAAACCTTCATGCCACGACGTCATCACCGGAACATGGAGGCCATCGGCAGCAGATACAGCAGCCTATTAATTAATTTCAACTCGAGTATATTGGGCCTATTAATTAATTCAGCCTATAAAATTAAAAAGCCCAAAAATTCAATTATTTGAAAAAAAAAGTTAATAGTAAAACTAACGCTACTAAAAATCAAGCCTTAAACAACCCCCCAAAAAAAAATCAAATTAAAATTTACCATTATACACTCTCTCTGTCTCTCCATCAAGTTCAAAAGATTAAATATATCAATCGTTTGAATATAAAAACTTAATATTTTTATATTATAAAAAAATAAATAAATAAATTAACAACTCATATTAAAAAAAAGTCTAATTTATTAATTCTGCTTTAGGCCCTAAAATATTTGGGACCGCCTTGGTTTTGGGACCCCTAAAAATGATCATCTATTTTTATAAAATTATAGGGTTATATATATTCCTTCATTCTTGAAATATAAAAAAAATGATAAAGAGAATAGAAAGTCCAGATATATATATATATATATATATATATATATATATATATATATATATATACACGATCTCAAATAAATTTATCAAAAGACCACCTTCATCCTTAAAATGTCATCACCTGAAATATGGGAAGTTTTATTGATCATTTCCTTGATACAGACATATATTTGGCACCAAATTTACTATTTTGGTAAGCTAAACTATGCATATTTATTACTGCTTCATTACATTACAAGCATGTATGAAACATCTTATTCTCCTATCAGTGACTCTCAAGACAGCCCGATCGGTCCTTTAAATGCCTAAGCAAAAGGCCTTTGGTTGTAGCAATTCTTTGCAAGAAAATTCAATTCTTTGCAAGAAAACTTGATACAACCTTAATTATAATACTAAAATCAATCCTAAGCTAATACAAAAACTACTACTACTGATGCCCAAGTCATGAGAACTGTTATTTCTTGAATTTCAAAAGTCATATTTACTGATCATAATAACTTAATCATCCTTTCGCATCTTTGAATTTTCTCACGAGCTTAATCAATAGTGATATTTGTAGGATATTTGTGGAGATGATTGCGGTAAAGAGAATGCACCTTTTGGATAAGTTAGGCGGGACGATAAGGGTTTTTGTCGCCTTACGTGTTGAATAAGACACATGTATTACTGTTTAAAAACAGTCAAGATCCCAATCGGTGTCTAGAGGCTGCTTCTCAAGCTTTCCATCAAATCGTTCTTGTATTACCAGTTAAAAACACCCCGAGTACTATGGTAAAGAAAAGGATTGATAAGTATTTTTGGTTCCATAAATTTTTTGTTAATTTAATTTTTATTATATTAATTTTATTAATTTGATTCTTAAAATATTCAAATTCGTGTCACTTTAGTTTTTAATCAGACAATCTATCAAGTTTTTTTACGAAAATGATCACGTCTCATTTTTTTAGACGGTATCATGTGCTCAACACGTGATCATTCAGTCAAAAATTTAATGGTTCGTCTCTGCACAAGTATAGAGTGACAATTTCTGACACAACACGAAAACATGACTTGAAATTGACACAAAATTAACATGTTAAGGTTAACTATTTCTCGATACGAACCCGTATATGACACGAGTCGTTAATACGAATAATAAATGAGTTGGATTAGTATCAAATACGATCAATACATTTAAATAGTATTATAAGAATAAAATGTTAATTTTTATTATATTTTATCAAGTAGAGACCTAATTTGTGTACCAAAAAAATATATATTTTTATTCATTTTTAATATTATATTTATTAAATTAATTTTTAATTTAGAGAAAAAATATGATCAAAAGTTTGATTAAGCGATAATAAAATTTTATACATAAAACTAAGGATTAAATTTTTTATTGACATCGGCTAACCCGAACATAACATGAAAATACATAAGTCAACACGATACTATTAATTAAATAAGTTGAATTAAAATTAATTAATACTTAACATAAACCTAAAATAACCCGATACTAACCCGACCCGACAAAACACCATTACGAACTACGGGAGTCTAGTCTAGCTAAAAGACTGATGGGTATGTGTGATTTCGTCAAATACCTAATCAACCCAACTTATTAGCTTTGACCACATCTTCTGGTTACCCTCCTACACGAAACTTCTTTTTTTGTTTTTATTTTTTAATATTAAGATTTAGGGGTATTGTGTCAATTTTCACACGATTCAATTAATTTTTCCTAGTCCGATTAAATGTAGGTAATCAATTCTAAAATTAAAGAATTTATAAACAATAAATCTCTTACGATTTAACTTTAAAAGAATTACTAATTTGTAAATTTAAGATTTTTTTAGTTTATAGCGAATGCTTTTCTTCACAATTAACAACCAAATTAATGATTTGCCGATAATGTTGTCCAATAATATTATTGAGACGGTAACTCTTAAAATTTTTTGGGGGGACTCTAACTAGCTCTGCGGCCCTCGGGTTGACACGTGAAATAATGAAGCCGTTGGAATGTCTAAAAGGTGTCAAAGAGGTAAGCTGAGGTGTGATGACCAGGAGCCGCCGAGTATTACAGCTGGCAATGTATTTAATGGGATGTAACCCCACATTAATGGCGAAATGAGTGATAGTGACAAGACAAATAAATACGTGTCTGCTAGCACCTGCTCTCTGGAAGTCTAAGCCTACTGTCATGGTGGCTAAGCATTAATGGCTGATGCGCCTAAACGACGAGATCGGCTCTCTCGAGAAACTATTCCCCCCGAGTATTCAATGATCAGTCGATGTCAGATGCCGATTTGGGGGATTTGGGTACTCGGGAGTGGCATAAATGCTCGGCATTTGACCGAGCATGTACCCCGTTTTTCTAGAATTCAATAGGAGGAGACGTGAGTGGNTAAATTTTTTTTTTTTTGTGTCTTATTGATATTTTTCACATTTGTGAGTATTTTTAGTACTATTGTGATAATTATAAATAATAATAAAAATAATTTTCACAACAATGAAAAAAACATACACAAAATAGTAAATTACTCGCAAAAGTGATAATTGTTTTTGTATAGAAGAAAAGTAATAAAAATAGTTACAACAACATTGGTAAAATTGTTGGACTAAGGCAAATTTTGGCAATTAAAATTTGATTTTTAGTCGACTTTGAGTCGAAATTAAAGTGAGACCTACTTGTTGTTTCTAGTAAATTTTCATGAGTTTTTGTTCTACTTCGGGAGAAAAATAATATAGTGTATTCACTTGCTCAAATCGCATATAAAATGAATGAGAAAATATGTTCTAAAGTAACTCATTTGGATTGTGAAAATAGAGATTGTGTAATGTAGGATTTGACACTAATCTCATATTGATTGACGAAAAATTTTTACTTATACATATATATGTCAAGTTTATTCTCTATGAGATACCACACTTTTATGAGAAGAACGAGCGCCTACGTGTCATCGGTTTCGACCACACACAAGTCACCCCGCCGGGTTCAAGTGTGAGTGTGGTCTTGATGGGATGTCCACTGTCTTCTACAAAATGTATTGTCATGTCATAGGGAATGACCTTATAGATGTGATAAGAGCTTTTTTCGCAGGGGCCACATGTTACATGCTCATAGAATTGAATAAAACATTTATTTGTCTCATCCCTAAATCTCCTAACCCTACCACTGTCCACCAATATAGACCCATTAATTTGTGTAATGTGACCAATAAGATTATCTCCAAAATCCTAGCTAATAGGATTAGGCCATTCCTTGACTAGATCATCTCCCCCACCCAAACAGCTTCTGTGTCTGACAAAAATATAGCTAAAAACCTAATCCTCGCCCTAGAAGTCATCCATCAGTTGAAGAGGAAAAAAGGAAAAGGTGCATTAATGGTTTTAAAACTAGATATGTCCAAGGCTTTTGATAGGATTGAGTGGTCACTCCTTGTCAAAATTCTATCGTTGATTGGTTTTCCTTTATAGTTCATCCAATTAGTTGAACAGTGCGTTTTCACCCCTCCTTCTCTGTCCTCGTTAATGGTGGTCTACTAGGAAACTTTACAGGGAACAATGCATTTAATTTCTGGAATCCGTTTGATTTAAATTCGCTCTAATTCAAATTTTTGCTTCTCTCCTTTCTGAATTTTTGAGTTGTATCTATTTAAATTTTTGAGTTCTCTTCAGTCCGAATGTAATTGTTTCGTTCTTACCTGTTCCTATTTCGTTCTTAATTATTACTGTTTTATTCTATATTGCATGATGCAAATCAAAAATTTTAATAAATGATTTTTTTTTCTGGTAAAGAATTGGATTGTATCCTGATTTTCATATCTTGACTTTTGAACTCCAAAAATTTGTCTGTATAGAGTTAAGATAAGATAAGATAAGATTGAAGTAATAAAAGTCCGTCGGATCTTTCGCAATTCAAGCAAATCAGGATGGACGCTATAGGAGAAACCACGGTGTACTCTGTATAGAACAAGCAAATCTTAAGAAGCAGACGCCACGAACTACTAGTTGGAGAGGAAGTCCATTACACGTTAGCTAATTCTAGAATAGCTAGACATTCTTGACTATGTTTCAGAATGGAAGAGAAGCCATGGAAGGAATTGAATTAACTATGTTGGATGAATGGAATGAATGGGAAAAAGCCCCCAATTTTCCTGAAGATTAAAAATATACATTTTTATTTTAAGATCTAATTAGGTATCTAAGTCATGTGGTTTTAAAAACGTCGTTTGAACATTTGTTTTTATCATAAAAGACGTTAGTTCAACTAACGTAAAAACGTCATTTTAACCAACGTCTTCAAAATACCTTTTTTTTATTTAAAAAGCCACATAAATAAAAAAGAAAATCAAAAACAAATCTAAGGTAGTGGTAATAGAGACAAATTATAAATTCAGATATCTTGAGTTTGCATTTGAGTAATATCTCGAGGTTATATCATGAAAGATTTATTCCTCATAAATATTTTAATCTTCATGTGATGGTCTACCTTTAATTGGTCTAAAAATGAAATTAGTCGAGTTACGCATAAATTAATCCAAACAACCGTCGAACCAAAAACAAAAATCAAAAACACAATTTTTTTTAAGAGCTAATTAGGGATCTTAGGTCAATACAACAGTTAAAAACTGTCGGTTAAAATATTCCTACAACACTATCAGAAGAAAAGTCTTAACTCCCCCACCCTTCCCCCCAAACCTAAGTAGGATGGGTACATGTAGTGATGGCTCAAAACACTCGTTAATGTCCCTACTAGGGCTACTGGCCCGGATGTTCCATTTGCTTGGGGATACTGCTTCAAAGAAGAACAAGGCAACCCACCAGATTATTGTGTTGCAAATCAACAATGGCCATGCGTTCCTGGTAAGAAGTACTATGGTCGAGGCCCCATCCAAATCTCATAGTAAGTGTTTTCTTTTTCACTTTGGTTAGATAATCAACAGATTAGAACATGTTTTGCCCTCTTCTTATGAATTGCATCCATCACAAAACCTTAACTTTATAATTGGATATGTACCATGACTTGCCAGCAACTACAACTATGGTCCAGCAGGAAGACCCATTGGATTGAATCTGCTAAACAGCCCCGAAACCGTTGCAAACTATCCAGTAGTTTCTTTCAAGACAGCGTTGTGGTTTTGGATGACACCCCAATCGCCAAAACCTTCATGCCACGACGTCATCACCGGAACATGGAGGCCATCGGCAGCAGATACAGCAGCCTATTAATTAATTTCAACTCGAGTATATTGGGCCTATTAATTAATTCAGCCTATAAAATTAAAAAGCCCAAAAATTCAATTATTTGAAAAAAAAAGTTAATAGTAAAACTAACGCTACTAAAAATCAAGCCTTAAACAACCCCCCAAAAAAAAATCAAATTAAAATTTACCATTATACACTCTCTCTGTCTCTCCATCAAGTTCAAAAGATTAAATATATCAATCGTTTGAATATAAAAACTTAATATTTTTATATTATAAAAAAATAAATAAATAAATTAACAACTCATATTAAAAAAAAGTCTAATTTATTAATTCTGCTTTAGGCCCTAAAATATTTGGGACCGCCTTGGTTTTGGGACCCCTAAAAATGATCATCTATTTTTATAAAATTATAGGGTTATATATATTCCTTCATTCTTGAAATATAAAAAAAATGATAAAGAGAATAGAAAGTCCAGATATATATATATATATATATATATATATATATATATATATATATATATACACGATCTCAAATAAATTTATCAAAAGACCACCTTCATCCTTAAAATGTCATCACCTGAAATATGGGAAGTTTTATTGATCATTTCCTTGATACAGACATATATTTGGCACCAAATTTACTATTTTGGTAAGCTAAACTATGCATATTTATTACTGCTTCATTACATTACAAGCATGTATGAAACATCTTATTCTCCTATCAGTGACTCTCAAGACAGCCCGATCGGTCCTTTAAATGCCTAAGCAAAAGGCCTTTGGTTGTAGCAATTCTTTGCAAGAAAATTCAATTCTTTGCAAGAAAACTTGATACAACCTTAATTATAATACTAAAATCAATCCTAAGCTAATACAAAAACTACTACTACTGATGCCCAAGTCATGAGAACTGTTATTTCTTGAATTTCAAAAGTCATATTTACTGATCATAATAACTTAATCATCCTTTCGCATCTTTGAATTTTCTCACGAGCTTAATCAATAGTGATATTTGTAGGATATTTGTGGAGATGATTGCGGTAAAGAGAATGCACCTTTTGGATAAGTTAGGCGGGACGATAAGGGTTTTTGTCGCCTTACGTGTTGAATAAGACACATGTATTACTGTTTAAAAACAGTCAAGATCCCAATCGGTGTCTAGAGGCTGCTTCTCAAGCTTTCCATCAAATCGTTCTTGTATTACCAGTTAAAAACACCCCGAGTACTATGGTAAAGAAAAGGATTGATAAGTATTTTTGGTTCCATAAATTTTTTGTTAATTTAATTTTTATTATATTAATTTTATTAATTTGATTCTTAAAATATTCAAATTCGTGTCACTTTAGTTTTTAATCAGACAATCTATCAAGTTTTTTTACGAAAATGATCACGTCTCATTTTTTTAGACGGTATCATGTGCTCAACACGTGATCATTCAGTCAAAAATTTAATGGTTCGTCTCTGCACAAGTATAGAGTGACAATTTCTGACACAACACGAAAACATGACTTGAAATTGACACAAAATTAACATGTTAAGGTTAACTATTTCTCGATACGAACCCGTATATGACACGAGTCGTTAATACGAATAATAAATGAGTTGGATTAGTATCAAATACGATCAATACATTTAAATAGTATTATAAGAATAAAATGTTAATTTTTATTATATTTTATCAAGTAGAGACCTAATTTGTGTACCAAAAAAATATATATTTTTATTCATTTTTAATATTATATTTATTAAATTAATTTTTAATTTAGAGAAAAAATATGATCAAAAGTTTGATTAAGCGATAATAAAATTTTATACATAAAACTAAGGATTAAATTTTTTATTGACATCGGCTAACCCGAACATAACATGAAAATACATAAGTCAACACGATACTATTAATTAAATAAGTTGAATTAAAATTAATTAATACTTAACATAAACCTAAAATAACCCGATACTAACCCGACCCGACAAAACACCATTACGAACTACGGGAGTCTAGTCTAGCTAAAAGACTGATGGGTATGTGTGATTTCGTCAAATACCTAATCAACCCAACTTATTAGCTTTGACCACATCTTCTGGTTACCCTCCTACACGAAACTTCTTTTTTTGTTTTTATTTTTTAATATTAAGATTTAGGGGTATTGTGTCAATTTTCACACGATTCAATTAATTTTTCCTAGTCCGATTAAATGTAGGTAATCAATTCTAAAATTAAAGAATTTATAAACAATAAATCTCTTACGATTTAACTTTAAAAGAATTACTAATTTGTAAATTTAAGATTTTTTTAGTTTATAGCGAATGCTTTTCTTCACAATTAACAACCAAATTAATGATTTGCCGATAATGTTGTCCAATAATATTATTGAGACGGTAACTCTTAAAATTTTTTGGGGGGACTCTAACTAGCTCTGCGGCCCTCGGGTTGACACGTGAAATAATGAAGCCGTTGGAATGTCTAAAAGGTGTCAAAGAGGTAAGCTGAGGTGTGATGACCAGGAGCCGCCGAGTATTACAGCTGGCAATGTATTTAATGGGATGTAACCCCACATTAATGGCGAAATGAGTGATAGTGACAAGACAAATAAATACGTGTCTGCTAGCACCTGCTCTCTGGAAGTCTAAGCCTACTGTCATGGTGGCTAAGCATTAATGGCTGATGCGCCTAAACGACGAGATCGGCTCTCTCGAGAAACTATTCCCCCCGAGTATTCAATGATCAGTCGATGTCAGATGCCGATTTGGGGGATTTGGGTACTCGGGAGTGGCATAAATGCTCGGCATTTGACCGAGCATGTACCCCGTTTTTCTAGAATTCAATAGGAGGAGACGTGAGTGGAAAACACTCATTGCACGAGAAATGGTGTGTCAGATGTAAAATATCCAGATAGGACATAAGATCTTTAGCAATCATTACTAATTCATGTATAAATACTCATCACAAAAATAGACAAAAGTATGTAAACTTGAACTAGAAAAATAGTTCATTAAGCAAAACCTTTCGATCTTATATTGATTTAAGCTTCGGAAGAGATTAGCCGGACACACGTCTGACCCCTTTTTTTTTTATCCTGTTGTTTCAGGTTTGTCAACGTAAAGATCGTTGTCTCGTACTATTTCAAGTATTATCCCGTGCATTTTTCATTGAAATTCCATCGATAACTATCTCGTGCATAAAAAGAAGTGGTAGAAATCTTTTTATTTATTTATTTTTTTCAAATTAAATAATGATATTATCTAACGATAATAATAAAATATCACTATTACATTCGAGATTTACTCCCGCCGACAGATTTGATGGAAAGCTTAAGAGGCAGCCTCTGGAAGCCGACTTGGATCTTGANAGAGATTGTGTAATGTAAGATTTGACACTAATCTCATATTGATTGACGAAAAATTTTTACTTATACATATATATGTCAAGTTTGTTCTCTATGAGATACCACACTCACTGTCTTCTACAAAATGTATTGTCATGTCATAGGGAATGACCTTATAGATGTGATAAGAGCTTTTTTCGCAGGGGCCACATGTTACATGCTCATAGAATTGAATAAAACATTTATTTGTCTCATCCCTAAATCTCCTAACCCTACCACTGTCCACCAATATAGACCCATTAATTTGTGTAATGTGACCAATAAGATNTCATTCTCTTCCAGTCCAAGGTACATCCTCTACCAAAATCATCTCCGCAAATGTCCTACTAATATCACTGTTGATTAAGCTCCTGAGAAAATTCAAAACATCCACAGATGGCTTGTGCTCAAGGGTGACGCTAGGATTTTATCTTTGAGGGAATCAAACATTAGACACGAAAATGTTGGTTTAAGATATTATTTTATTCTTAAATATATCGCATAAATCAACACATAGATATCGCATTTCTTCAAATTGAAAAATTCGTCAAAATTTGAGAGTCCCTAAGAGACCTATCAAACTTTTGATCAATCCCTTGCCGAAATTCAATCGATCGTGAGCAAAAAGATAGATGACTTCTTCGTAAGAGTAGNTCTGTGTCTGACAAAAATATAGCTAAAAACCTAATCCTCGCCCTAGAAGTCATCCATCAGTTGAAGAGGAAAAAAGGAAAAGGTGCATTAATGGTTTTAAAACTAGATATGTCCAAGGCTTTTGATAGGATTGAGTGGTCACTCCTTGTCAAAATTCTATCGTTGATTGGTTTTCCTTTATAGTTCATCCAATTAGTTGAACAGTGCGTTTTCACCCCTCCTTCTCTGTCCTCGTTAATGGTGGTCTACTAGGAAACTTTACAGGGAACAATGCATTTAATTTCTGGAATCCGTTTGATTTAAATTCGCTCTAATTCAAATTTTTGCTTCTCTCCTTTCTGAATTTTTGAGTTGTATCTATTTAAATTTTTGAGTTCTCTTCAGTCTGAATGTAATTGTTTCGTTCTTACCTGTTCCTATTTCGTTCTTAATTATTACCGTTTTATTCTATATTGCATGATGCAAATCAAAAATCTTAATAAATGATTTTTTTTTCTGGTAAAGAATTGGATTGTATCCTGATTTTCATATCTTGACTTTTGAACTCCAAAAATTTGTCTGTATAGAGTTAAGATAAGATAAGATAAGATTGAAGTAATAAAAGTCCGTCGGATCTTTCGCAATTCAAGCAAATCAGGATGGACGCTATAGGAGAAACCACGGTGTACTCTGTATAGAACAAGCAAATCTTAAGAAGCAGACGCCACGAACTACTAGTTGGAGAGGAAGTCCATTACACGTTAGCTAATTCTAGAATAGCTAGACATTCTTGACTATGTTTCAGAATGGAAGAGAAGCCATGGAAGGAATTGAATTAACTATGTTGGATGAATGGAATGAATGGGAAAAAGCCCCCAATTTTCCTGAAGATTAAAAATATACATTTTTATTTTAAGATCTAATTAGGTATCTAAGTCATGTGGTTTTAAAAACGTCGTTTGAACATTTGTTTTTATCATAAAAGACGTTAGTTCAACTAACGTAAAAACGTCATTTCAACCAACGTCTTCAAAATACCTTTTTTTTATTTAAAAAGCCACATAAATAAAAAAGAAAATCAAAAACAAATCTAAGGTAGTGGTAATAGAGACAAATTATAAATTCAGATATCTTGAGTTTGCATTTGAGTAATATCTCGAGGTTATATCATGAAAGATTTATTCCTCATAAATATTTTAATCTTCATGTGATGGTCTACCTTTAATTGGTCTAAAAATGAAATTAGTCGAGTTACGCATAAATTAATCCAAACAACCGTCGAACCAAAAACAAAAATCAAAAACACAATTTTTTTTAAGAGCTAATTAGGGATCTTAGGTCAATACAACAGTTAAAAACTGTCGGTTAAAATATTCCTACAACACTATCAGAAGAAAAGTCTTAACTCCCCCACCCTTCCCCCCAAACCTAAGTAGGATGGGTACATGTAGTGATGGCTCAAAACACTCGTTAATGTCCCTACTAGGGCTACTGGCCCGGATGTTCCATTTGCTTGGGGATACTGCTTCAAAGAAGAACAAGGCAACCCACCAGATTATTGTGTTGCAAATCAACAATGGCCATGCGTTCCTGGTAAGAAGTACTATGGTCGAGGCCCCATCCAAATCTCATAGTAAGTGTTTTCTTTTTCACTTTGGTTAGATAATCAACAGATTAGAACATGTTTTGCCCTCTTCTTATGAATTGCATCCATCACAAAACCTTAACTTTATAATTGGATATGTACCATGACTTGCCAGCAACTACAACTATGGTCCAGCAGGAAGACCCATTGGATTGAATCTGCTAAACAGCCCCGAAACCGTTGCAAACTATCCAGTAGTTTCTTTCAAGACAGCGTTGTGGTTTTGGATGACACCCCAATCGCCAAAACCTTCATGCCACGACGTCATCACCGGAACATGGAGGCCATCGGCAGCAGATACAGCAGCCTATTAATTAATTTCAACTCGAGTATATTGGGCCTATTAATTAATTCAGCCTATAAAATTAAAAAGCCCAAAAATTCAATTATTTGAAAAAAAAAGTTAATAGTAAAACTAACGCTACTAAAAATCAAGCCTTAAACAACCCCCCAAAAAAAAATCAAATTAAAATTTACCATTATACACTCTCTCTGTCTCTCCATCAAGTTCAAAAGATTAAATATATCAATCGTTTGAATATAAAAACTTAATATTTTTATATTATAAAAAAATAAATAAATAAATTAACAACTCATATTAAAAAAAAGTCTAATTTATTAATTCTGCTTTAGGCCCTAAAATATTTGGGACCGCCTTGGTTTTGGGACCCCTAAAAATGATCATCTATTTTTATAAAATTATAGGGTTATATATATTCCTTCATTCTTGAAATATAAAAAAAATGATAAAGAGAATAGAAAGTCCAGATATATATATATATATATATATATATATATATATATATATATATATATACACGATCTCAAATAAATTTATCAAAAGACCACCTTCATCCTTAAAATGTCATCACCTGAAATATGGGAAGTTTTATTGATCATTTCCTTGATACAGACATATATTTGGCACCAAATTTACTATTTTGGTAAGCTAAACTATGCATATTTATTACTGCTTCATTACATTACAAGCATGTATGAAACATCTTATTCTCCTATCAGTGACTCTCAAGACAGCCCGATCGGTCCTTTAAATGCCTAAGCAAAAGGCCTTTGGTTGTAGCAATTCTTTGCAAGAAAATTCAATTCTTTGCAAGAAAACTTGATACAACCTTAATTATAATACTAAAATCAATCCTAAGCTAATACAAAAACTACTACTACTGATGCCCAAGTCATGAGAACTGTTATTTCTTGAATTTCAAAAGTCATATTTACTGATCATAATAACTTAATCATCCTTTCGCATCTTTGAATTTTCTCACGAGCTTAATCAATAGTGATATTTGTAGGATATTTGTGGAGATGATTGCGGTAAAGAGAATGCACCTTTTGGATAAGTTAGGCGGGACGATAAGGGTTTTTGTCGCCTTACGTGTTGAATAAGACACCTGTATTACTGTTTAAAAACAGTCAAGATCACAGTCGGTGTCTAGAGGCTGCTTCTCAAGCTTTCCATCAAATCGTTCTTCTATTACCAGTTAAAAACACCCCGAGTACTATGGTAAAGAAAAGGGTTGATAAGTATTTTTGGTTCCATAAATTTTTTGTTAATTTAATTTTTATTATATTAATTTTATTAATTTGATCCTTAAAATATTTAAATTCGTGTCACTTTAGTCTTTAATCAGACAATCTATCAAGTTATTTTACGAAAATGATCACGTGTCATTTTTTTAGACGGTATTATGTGCTCAACACGTGATCATTCAGTCAAAAATTTAATGGTTCGTCTCTGCACAAGTGTAGAGTGACAATTTCTGACACAACACGAAAACATGACTTGAAATTGACACAAAATTAACATGTTAAAGTTAACTATTTCTCGATACGAACCCGTATATGACACTAGTCGTTAATACGAATAATAAATGAGTTGGATTAGTATCAAATACAATCAATACATTTAAATAGTATTATAAGAATAAAATGTCAATTTTTATTATATTTTATCAAGTAGAGACCTAATTTGTGTACCAAAAAAATATATATTTTTACTCATTTTTAATATTATTTTTATTAAGTTAATTTTTAATTTAGAGAAAAAATATGATCAAAAGTTTGATTAAGCGATAATAAAATTTTATACATAAAACTAAGGATTAATTTTTTATTGACATCGGCTAACCCGAACATAACATGAAAATACATAAGTCAACACGATACTATTAATTAAATAAGTTAAATTAAAATTAATTAATACTCAACATAAACCTAAAATAACCCGATACCAACCCGACCCGGCAAAACACGATTACGAACTACGGAAGCCAACCCAACCTATTAGCTTTGACCACATCTTCTGGTTACCCTCCTACACGAAACTTCTTTTTTTGTTTTTATTTTTTAATATTAAGATTTAGGGGTATTGTGTCAATTTTCACACGATTCAATTAATTTTCTCTAGTCCGATTAAATGTAGGTAATCAATTCTAAAATTAAAGAATTTATAAACAATAAATCTCTTATGATTTAACTTTAAAAGAATTACTAATTTGTAAATTTAAGATTTTTTAGTTTATAGCGAATGCTTTTCTTCACAATTAACAACCAAATTAATGATTTGCCGATAATGTTGTCCAATAATATTATTGAGACGGTAACTCTTAAAATTTTTTGGGGGACTCTAACTGGCTCTGCGGCCCTCGGGTTGACACATGAAATAATGAAGCCGTTGGGATGTCTAAAAGGTGCCGAAGAGGTAAGCTGAAGTGTGATGCCAGGAGCCGCCGAGTATTACAGCTGGCAACGTATTTAATGGGATGTAACCCCACATTAATGGCGAAATGAGTGATAATGACAAGACAAATAAATAAGTGTCTGCTAGCACCTGCCCTTTAGAAGTCTAAGCCTACTGTCATGGTGGCTAAGCATTAATGACTGATGCGCCTAAACGACGAGATCGGCTCTCTCGAGGAACTATTCCCCCTGAGTATTCAATGCTCAGTCGATGTCAGATGCCGATTTGGGAGATTTGGGTACTCGGGAGTGGCATAAATGCTCGGCATTTGACCGAGCATGTACCCCGTTTTCCTAGAATTCAATAGGAGGAGACGTGAGTAAAAAACATTCATTGCACGAGAAATGGTGTGTCAGATGTAAAATATTCAGATGAGACTTGAGATCTTTAGCAATCATTACTAATTCATGTATAAATATTTTTCACAAAAATAGACAAAGGTACGTAAACTTGAACTAGAAAAATAGTCCATTAAGCAAAACTCTTCGATCTTATATTGACTTAAGCTTCGGAAGGGATTAGCCGGGCACACGCCTGACCCCTTTTTTTTTTATCCTGTTGTTTCAGGTTTGCCAGCGTAAAGATCGCTGCCTCGTACTATTGCAAGTATTATCCCGTGCATTTTTCATTGAAATTCCATCAATAACTATCTCGTGCATAAAAAGAAGTGGTAGAAATCTTTTTATTTATTTATTTTTTTTTAAATTAAATAATGATATTATCTAACGATAATAATAAAATATCACTATTACATTCGAGATTTACTCCGGCTGACAGATTTGATGGAAAGCTTAAGAGGCAGCCTCTGGAAGCCGACTTGGATCTTGACTGTTTTTAACTGGTAATACACGTCTTCTTATTCACCATGTGTAGGGCCACAAAGACCCTTATCGTCTTGCCTAACTTGTCCATGGTACATTCTCTTCCAGTCCAAGGTACATCCTCTACCAAAATCATCTCCGCAAATGTCCTACTAATATCACTGTTGATTAAGCTCCTCAGAAAATTCAAAACATCCACAGATGGCTTGTGCTCAAGGGTGACGCTAGGATTTTATCTTTGAGGGAATCAAACATTAGACACGAAAATGTTGGTTTAAGATATTATTTTATTCTTAAATATATCGCATAAATCAACACATAGATATCGCATTTCTTCAAATTGAAAAATTCGTCAAAATTTGAGAGTCCCAAAGAGACCCATCAAACTTTTGATCAATCCCTTGCCGAAATTCAATCGATCGTGAGCAAAAAGATAGATGACTTCTTCGTAAGAGTAGTTCAATCAGAAAAAACAACTGAATTTTTAAAGAATATGTTTTTGATGGAGTTAGACTTACAACCGTATAAAAGGAAAAAAAGTCTTTGAAAGGAATAATAATTAGGAAACTTTTCAATGGCCAATCATAAAAGGATTGGTAAGTGTTCGGTTGAATAGTTTATTAGATTAAAGNTTTCCTTTATAGTTCATCCAATTAGTTGAACAGTGCGTTTTCACCCCTCCTTCTCTGTCCTCGTTAATGGTGGTCTACTAGGAAACTTTACAGGGAACAATGCATTTAATTTCTGGAATCCGTTTGATTTAAATTCGCTCTAATTCAAATTTTTGCTTCTCTCCTTTCTGAATTTTTGAGTTGTATCTATTTAAATTTTTGAGTTCTCTTCAGTCTGAATGTAATTGTTTCGTTCTTACCTGTTCCTATTTCGTTCTTAATTATTACTGTTTTATTCTATATTGCATGATGCAAATCAAAAATCTTAATAAATGATTTTTTTTTCTGGTAAAGAATTGGATTGTATCCTGATTTTCATATCTTGACTTTTGAACTCCAAAAATTTGTCTGTATAGAGTTAAGATAAGATAAGATAAGATTGAAGTAATAAAAGTCCGTCGGATCTTTCGCAATTCAAGCAAATCAGGATGGACGCTATAGGAGAAACCACGGTGTACTCTGTATAGAACAAGCAAATCTTAAGAAGCAGACGCCACGAACTACTAGTTGGAGAGGAAGTCCATTACACGTTAGCTAATTCTAGAATAGCTAGACATTCTTGACTATGTTTCAGAATGGAAGAGAAGCCATGGAAGGAATTGAATTAACTATGTTGGATGAATGGAATGAATGGGAAAAAGCCCCCAATTTTCCTGAAGATTAAAAATATACATTTTTATTTTAAGATCTAATTAGGTATCTAAGTCATGTGGTTTTAAAAACGTCGTTTGAACATTTGTTTTTATCATAAAAGACGTTAGTTCAACTAACGTAAAAACGTCATTTCAACCAACGTCTTCAAAATACCTTTTTTTTATTTAAAAAGCCACATAAATAAAAAAGAAAATCAAAAACAAATCTAAGGTAGTGGTAATAGAGACAAATTATAAATTCAGATATCTTGAGTTTGCATTTGAGTAATATCTCGAGGTTATATCATGAAAGATTTATTCCTCATAAATATTTTAATCTTCATGTGATGGTCTACCTTTAATTGGTCTAAAAATGAAATTAGTCGAGTTACGCATAAATTAATCCAAACAACCGTCGAACCAAAAACAAAAATCAAAAACACAATTTTTTTTAAGAGCTAATTAGGGATCTTAGGTCAATACAACAGTTAAAAACTGTCGGTTAAAATATTCCTACAACACTATCAGAAGAAAAGTCTTAACTCCCCCACCCTTCCCCCCAAACCTAAGTAGGATGGGTACATGTAGTGATGGCTCAAAACACTCGTTAATGTCCCTACTAGGGCTACTGGCCCGGATGTTCCATTTGCTTGGGGATACTGCTTCAAAGAAGAACAAGGCAACCCACCAGATTATTGTGTTGCAAATCAACAATGGCCATGCGTTCCGGGTAAGAAGTACTATGGTCGAGGCCCCATCCAAATCTCATAGTAAGTGTTTTCTTTTTCACTTTGGTTAGATAATCAACAGATTAGAACATGTTTTGCCCTCTTCTTATGAATTGCATCCATCACAAAACCTTAACTTTATAATTGGATATGTACCATGACTTGCCAGCAACTACAACTATGGTCCAGCAGGAAGACCCATTGGATTGAATCTGCTAAACAGCCCCGAAACCGTTGCAAACTATCCAGTAGTTTCTTTCAAGACAGCGTTGTGGTTTTGGATGACACCCCAATCGCCAAAACCTTCATGCCACGACGTCATCACCGGAACATGGAGGCCATCGGCAGCAGATACAGCAGCCTATTAATTAATTTCAACTCGAGTATATTGGGCCTATTAATTAATTCAGCCTATAAAATTAAAAAGCCCAAAAATTCAATTATTTGAAAAAAAAAGTTAATAGTAAAACTAACGCTACTAAAAATCAAGCCTTAAACAACCCCCCAAAAAAAAATCAAATTAAAATTTACCATTATACACTCTCTCTGTCTCTCCATCAAGTTCAAAAGATTAAATATATCAATCGTTTGAATATAAAAACTTAATATTTTTATATTATAAAAAAATAAATAAATAAATTAACAACTCATATTAAAAAAAAGTCTAATTTATTAATTCTGCTTTAGGCCCTAAAATATTTGGGACCGCCTTGGTTTTGGGACCCCTAAAAATGATCATCTATTTTTATAAAATTATAGGGTTATATATATTCCTTCATTCTTGAAATATAAAAAAAATGATAAAGAGAATAGAAAGTCCAGATATATATATATATATATATATATATATATATATATATATATATATACACGATCTCAAATAAATTTATCAAAAGACCACCAAAATCCTTAAAATGTCATCACCTGAAATATGGGAAGTTTTATTGATCATTTCCTTGATACAGACATATATTTGGCACCAAATTTACTATTTTGGTAAGCTAAACTATGCATATTTATTACTGCTTCATTACATTACAAGCATGTATGAAACATCTTATTCTCCTATCAGTGACTCTCAAGACAGCCCGATCGGTCCTTTAAATGCCTAAGCAAAAGGCCTTTGGTTGTAGCAATTCTTTGCAAGAAAATTCAATTCTTTGCAAGAAAACTTGATACAACCTTAATTATAATACTAAAATCAATCCTAAGCTAATACAAAAACTACTACTACTGATGCCCAAGTCATGAGAACTGTTATTTCTTGAATTTCAAAAGTCATATTTACTGATCATAATAACTTAATCATCCTTTCGCATCTTTGAATTTTCTCACGAGCTTAATCAATAGTGATATTTGTAGGATATTTGTGGAGATGATTGCGGTAAAGAGAATGCACCTTTTGGATAAGTTAGGCGGGACGATAAGGGTTTTTGTCGCCTTACGTGTTGAATAAGACACCTGTATTACTGTTTAAAAACAGTCAAGATCACAGTCGGTGTCTAGAGGCTGCTTCTCAAGCTTTCCATCAAATCGTTCTTCTATTACCAGTTAAAAACACCCCGAGTACTATGGTAAAGAAAAGGGTTGATAAGTATTTTTGGTTCCATAAATTTTTTGTTAATTTAATTTTTATTATATTAATTTTATTAATTTGATCCTTAAAATATTTAAATTCGTGTCACTTTAGTCTTTAATCAGACAATCTATCAAGTTATTTTACGAAAATGATCACGTGTCATTTTTTTAGACGGTATTATGTGCTCAACACGTGATCATTCAGTCAAAAATTTAATGGTTCGTCTCTGCACAAGTGTAGAGTGACAATTTCTGACACAACACGAAAACATGACTTGAAATTGACACAAAATTAACATGTTAAAGTTAACTATTTCTCGATACGAACCCGTATATGACACTAGTCGTTAATACGAATAATAAATGAGTTGGATTAGTATCAAATACAATCAATACATTTAAATAGTATTATAAGAATAAAATGTCAATTTTTATTATATTTTATCAAGTAGAGACCTAATTTGTGTACCAAAAAAATATATATTTTTACTCATTTTTAATATTATTTTTATTAAGTTAATTTTTAATTTAGAGAAAAAATATGATCAAAAGTTTGATTAAGCGATAATAAAATTTTATACATAAAACTAAGGATTAATTTTTTATTGACATCGGCTAACCCGAACATAACATGAAAATACATAAGTCAACACGATACTATTAATTAAATAAGTTAAATTAAAATTAATTAATACTCAACATAAACCTAAAATAACCCGATACCAACCCGACCCGGCAAAACACGATTACGAACTACGGAAGCCAACCCAACCTATTAGCTTTGACCACATCTTCTGGTTACCCTCCTACACGAAACTTCTTTTTTTGTTTTTATTTTTTAATATTAAGATTTAGGGGTATTGTGTCAATTTTCACACGATTCAATTAATTTTCTCTAGTCCGATTAAATGTAGGTAATCAATTCTAAAATTAAAGAATTTATAAACAATAAATCTCTTATGATTTAACTTTAAAAGAATTACTAATTTGTAAATTTAAGATTTTTTAGTTTATAGCGAATGCTTTTCTTCACAATTAACAACCAAATTAATGATTTGCCGATAATGTTGTCCAATAATATTATTGAGACGGTAACTCTTAAAATTTTTTGGGGGACTCTAACTGGCTCTGCGGCCCTCGGGTTGACACATGAAATAATGAAGCCGTTGGGATGTCTAAAAGGTGCCGAAGAGGTAAGCTGAAGTGTGATGCCAGGAGCCGCCGAGTATTACAGCTGGCAACGTATTTAATGGGATGTAACCCCACATTAATGGCGAAATGAGTGATAATGACAAGACAAATAAATAAGTGTCTGCTAGCACCTGCCCTTTAGAAGTCTAAGCCTACTGTCATGGTGGCTAAGCATTAATGACTGATGCGCCTAAACGACGAGATCGGCTCTCTCGAGGAACTATTCCCCCTGAGTATTCAATGCTCAGTCGATGTCAGATGCCGATTTGGGAGATTTGGGTACTCGGGAGTGGCATAAATGCTCGGCATTTGACCGAGCATGTACCCCGTTTTCCTAGAATTCAATAGGAGGAGACGTGAGTAAAAAACATTCATTGCACGAGAAATGGTGTGTCAGATGTAAAATATTCAGATGAGACTTGAGATCTTTAGCAATCATTACTAATTCATGTATAAATATTTTTCACAAAAATAGACAAAGGTACGTAAACTTGAACTAGAAAAATAGTCCATTAAGCAAAACTCTTCGATCTTATATTGACTTAAGCTTCGGAAGGGATTAGCCGGGCACACGCCTGACCCCTTTTTTTTTTATCCTGTTGTTTCAGGTTTGCCAGCGTAAAGATCGCTGCCTCGTACTATTGCAAGTATTATCCCGTGCATTTTTCATTGAAATTCCATCAATAACTATCTCGTGCATAAAAAGAAGTGGTAGAAATCTTTTTATTTATTTATTTTTTTTTAAATTAAATAATGATATTATCTAACGATAATAATAAAATATCACTATTACATTCGAGATTTACTCCGGCTGACAGATTTGATGGAAAGCTTAAGAGGCAGCCTCTGGAAGCCGACTTGGATCTTGACTGTTTTTAACTGGTAATACACGTCTTCTTATTCACCATGTGTAGGGCCACAAAGACCCTTATCGTCTTGCCTAACTTGTCCATGGTACATTCTCTTCCAGTCCAAGGTACATCCTCTACCAAAATCATCTCCGCAAATGTCCTACTAATATCACTGTTGATTAAGCTCCTCAGAAAATTCAAAACATCCACAGATGGCTTGTGCTCAAGGGCGACGCTAGGATTTTATCTTTGAGGGAATCAAACATTAGACACGAAAATGTTGGTTTAAGATATTATTTTATTCTTAAATATATCGCATAAATCAACACATAGATATCGCATTTCTTCAAATTGAAAATTTCGTCAAAATTTGAGAGTCCCTAAGAGACCCATCAAACTTTTGATCAATCCCTTGCCGAAATTCAATCGATCGTGAGCAAAAGGATAGATGACTTCTTCGTAAGAGTAGTTCAATCAGAAAAAACAACTGAATTTTTAAAGAATATGTTTTTGATGGAGTAAGACTTACAACCGTATAAAAGGAAAAAAAAGTCTTTGAAAGGAATAATAATTAGGAAACTTTTCAATGGCCAATCATAAAAGGATTGGTAAGTGTTCGGTTGAATAGTTTATTAGATTAAAGGGGCTCACAAATAGTCATTGCATAAGTAAAGAAGATTTCTATTGGAGATTTACCCAAAAAAAACTTTCTATTGGGGGTTCATTTCTATACCAACAGACTTCTAAGAGAACTAAAATAATCCTACTCTAAGGGTTATAAAAATTCTAGGGGGGGGCCATGGCCCCCTTAGACCATGGTGAAGCTCCGCCACTGCTCGTGCTACAATATTTGGTAAATAAATTTTAAAAGTATGATTTTATCTTTTGATTATTTTGGAATGAACAAGAAAGAAACATGTCAAGAATAAATCATCAACGAACTTGCCACGTGGTTGGCATTCGAGTAATGTGGAAAAGATAGGCCACTTGGTGTGGCATTTGAAATTTGAAGAGTAATGTGGAAAACATAGGCCACTTGGGATGACATTTGACAGTAATCAAAAAAAGAATCAAGATGAGTTAGTATGACTTTTGAAATTCAAGAAAATAACCGTTTTCACGACTTGGACATCATTAATAGTAGTTTTCTAATTAGTGCGGGATGAAATTTAGTAGTGCAACTAAGACTGTTTCATCAAAAAAAATTTCTTTAAAGAGTTACTTTTAAGATTAATAAACAAAAATATTACCTTTTGTTAATCTTTCTTAAATCATTCTCTTTTACTTAAATTAGATTAATTACTTTCATGCAAAGAAGTTCTGAAATAAAACAATTGAACTTCATTTAAGCAATAACTTGAAGTACGTCATCCATCGATGGAGAATTATCGGTCAATCATGAGATATTTGGACCAACACAATTGTAATGTAAATGGTGTTTCAAATTAGCAACAACAATTCGTAATTTAATTTAAGCTTTCCAAATTTTTTGAGCTGCTCAAACGGAGACTTGGGAGAAAATGCACAACACATTCTATTTCAGATCAAAGCTATCGAAGCCTTTGAGTCGCCTCCAATCCTTTGATCAAAATTAAGCCACTCCGACCATCTTAAAAAGCTGCAGTTGTCTACGATATCGAATTTTTATTTTTTTTTCTGTTTCGTATCGATATTTATCATATTTGTGAGTACTTTTAGTATTATTGTGATAACTAAAAAAAATAGTAAAAATAATTTTCACAACAGTGATAAAAACATATACAAAAATAGTAAATTACTCATAAAAGTGATAATTGTTTTTTTATAGAAGAAAAGTAATAACAACAACATTGGTAAAATTGTTGGAATAAGGCAGATTTTGGAAATTAAAATCTGATTTTTAGTCAATTTTGAGGCAACATTAAAGTGGGACCTGCTTGTCGTTTCTAGTAAATTTTTGTGGGTTTGTGTTCTACTTCATGAGAAGAATAACGTAGTGTATTCANATTGGTAAAATTGTTGGAATAAGGCAGATTTTTGAAATTAAAATCTGATTTTTAGTCGATTTTGAGGCAACATTAAAGTGGGACCTGCTTGTCGTTTCTAGTAAATTTTTGTGGGTTTGTGTTCTACTTCATGAGAAGAATAACGTAGTGTATTCACTTCCTCAAATCAAGTAAGAAATAAATGAGAAAATATGCTCAAAAATAATTCATTTGAATTGTGAAAATAGAGGTTGTGTAATGTGAGATTTGATCCCACATTGATTAAGGAAGAAATTCTAGTTATGCATATATATGTCAAGTTTGTCCTCTATGGGATACCACACTTTTATGAGAGAAACAAGCATCTACATTTCATCGATTCCGACCACACACAAGCCACCCATCCAGGCTCAAGTGTGAGAGTTGGTCCTAATGNATTATGCTCAAAAGTAATTCATTTGAATTGTGAAAATAGAGGTTGTGTAATGTGAGATTTGATCCCACATTGATTAAGGAAGAAATTCTAATTATGCATATATATGTCAAGTTTGTCCTCTATGGAATACCACACTTTTATGAGAGAAACAAGCATCTACATTTCATCGGTTCCGACCACACACAAGCCACCCATCCAGGCTCAAGTGTGAGAGTTGGTCCTAATGGGTTGTCCACTGTCTTCTACAAAACATACTGGCATGTCATAGAAAATAACCTTATAAATATGATAAGAGCTTTTTTCACAGGAGACCACATGCTCTTTCCTAAATCTTCTAACCCTGTCCACCAATATAGACATATTAGTTTGTGTAATGTGACCTATAAGATTATCTCAAAAATCTTGGCTAACAGGATTAGGCCATTCCTTGACCAGATCATCTCCCNTGACCTTATAAATGTGATAAGAGCTTTTTTCACAGCGGACCACATGCTCTTTCCTAAATCTTCTAACCCTGTCCACCAATATAGACATATTAGTTTGTGTAATGTGACCTATAAGATTATCTCAAAAATCTTGGCTAACAGGATTAGGCCATTCCTTGACCAGATCATCTCCCCCACTCAAACAGCTTTTGTGCCTGACAGAAATATAGCTGAAAACCTAGTCCTTGTCCAAGAAGTCATCCATCAATTGAAGAGGAAGAAAGGAAAAGGCACACTAATGGTTTTAAAACTAGATATGTTCAAGGCTTTTGATAGGGTTGAGTGGTCGCCCCTTGTCAAAATTCTATTGCTGATTAGTTTNAGTTGAAGAAGAAGAAAGGAAAAGGCACACTAATGGTTTTAAAACTAGATATGTTCAAGGTTTTTGATAGGGTTGAGTGGTCGCCCCTTGTCAAAATTCTATTGCTGATTAGTTTCCCTTTGTAATTCATCCAGTTAGTTGAACAATACATTTCCACCCCCTCCTTCTCCGTCCTTATTTGTGGTGGACACCAAGAAACTTTACAGGGACAGTGCATTTAATTTCTGATATCCATTTGATTTAAATTCGCACTAGTTTAAATTTTTGTTTCTCTCCGGTCCGAATTTTTAAGTTGTGTCTATTCAAATTTTTGAGTTTTTCTGGTCCGAATATAATTGTTTCGTTTTTACCTGTTCCTGTTTCGTTCTTGACTGTTACTATTTTATTCTAAATTGTATTATACAAATTAAAATTTTCAATAAGTGATTTTACTATATTTAGAAAACCATAAACAACAAAAATTATCCACAAAAATGATAATTTTTTCTTATTGAACAAAAAATAATAAAAATAAGTACCACAACAATAGCAAACTCATCTACGAAAATGGTAAAAATATCTACAAAAATGATAAATCATCCATAAAAATAATAAATTTTTTTATTATAAAAATATCCATAAATTATAAAATTACCCAACAAAATAATAAATTTTAGAGTTACCATTGGACACTATAGGAGGAACCACGGTACACTCCGAGCAAGAAAGTCTCAAGGAGCAGACGCCATGAACTACCAGTTGTCTTTTCAAAAAAAAAAACTACTAGTTGGAGTGGAAGGTCCATTACACGTTAACCACTACTAGAATAGCTAGATATTCTTGACTATGTCCACGATTTTCTCAAAGATTAAAAATATACATTCTTATTTTAAGAGCTAATTAGGTATCTTAGTCAATACAACTGTTAAAAACTGTCAACTAATAATTAAAATATCCCTATAGCACTATTAAAAGAAAAGTCTTAACCTCCCCCCAACCTAATTTGGATGGGTACGTGCAGTGGTGGCTCAAAAAATTCTTTATTTATTATAAGTGTTCAGGTTTGTGTCGACTATTCTCTCAAACCCTGAACGAGCACATGGTTAAAAATTGAGAACTACTAACCAATATCCCTATCAAGAGAAAAGTCTTCCCCAACCCATCAAAACCATGCCTATATATACCCCACCTTTTCTCTACTAAACATCTTCAGAGACACTAAGCCAAAGAGAGAGAGAGAGAGAGAGAGAGAGAGAGAAATGACGGTTTGGACAGTGGTGTTGCTCAGTTTCTTGTTTATTGTAGGAGCCTTGTCTCAAGGCGATGTCGGTTCGATTATCAGTAAAACTCAGTTTGATCAGATGTTGAAGCATCGAGATGATGCGGCTTGCCCTGGGAAAGGATTCTACACTTACGATGCTTTCGTAGCAGCAGCCAAGTCATTTGGAGCTTTTGGAACAACTGGTGCCACAGACATTCGTAAGAGAGAAATTGCCGCCTTTTTGGCACAAACATCCCATGAAACCACAGGTATAATGTTTCTTACAGTAATGTTTGCAACCATGTCTGGATCCATATATGTCAATGAGATAGTGGTGCTTTTGATTCGAGTTTTATTTTGTTTGAAGTTCATGTTTAATTAATCCGGTCTTTGTTTTTGGTATCGTGTTTGGTAGTGGTGCTCTCCTGTATGTTCGAAAAATGACATGCATGGCCACAATGCACCAGGGGAGGAGATAATTAGTGATACATATAAAGGAGCAAAACCCCAAGTTAACTAGCAAATGAAAAAAGAAAAAAAAAAGGTTCTTGTCGCTTTAGGTTTGTAGAGGATCTTGATCGTTTATGTATTCATATCCCGTATATGTCGAGGTTATTTCTGTGAAATGAAAAAGAATAATGCATGATAACATGATTACTTATATATTTTTGATGGATTAACATAGGTGGGTGGGCTACTGCCCCGGATGGTCCATATGCTTGGGGATACTGCTTCAAAGAAGAACAAGGCAACCCACCAGATTATTGTGTTGCAAATCAACAATGGCCATGCGTTCCTGGTAAGAAGTACTATGGTCGAGGCCCCATCCAAATCTCATAGTAAGTGTTTTCTTTTTCACTTTGGTTAGATAATCAACAGATTAGAACATGTTTTGCCCTCTTCTTCTGAATTGCATCCTTCACAAAACCTTAACTTTGTACTTGGGTGTGTACCATGACTTGCCAGCAACTACAACTATGGTCCAGCAGGAAGTGCCATCGGATTGAATCTGCTAAACAGCCCCGAAACCGTTGCAAACGATCCAGTAGTTTCTTTCAAGACAGCGTTCTGGTTTTGGATGACACCCCAATCGCCAAAACCTTCATGCCACGACGTCATCACCGGAACATGGAGGCCATCGGCAGCAGATACAGCAGCCGGTCGTGTCCCTGGCTATGGTGTGATCACCAATATCATCAACGGTGGAATTGAATGTGGTAAAGGTTCTAACCCACAGGTGGAGGATCGGATCGGTTTCTACAAAAGATACTGTGACATACTAGGAGTCGGCTATGGCAACAATCTGGATTGCTACAACCAGAGGCCTTTTGCTTAGGCACTTAAAGGGAGCGCTCGAGCCTGTCTCCAGAGTTACTTATAGGAATAAGATGTTTCATACATGCTTGTAATGTAATGAAGCAGTAATTAATCAGCATAGTTTGGCTTGCCAAAATAGTAATTTGGTGCCAAATATCTGTTTGTATCAAGGAAATAATCAATCAACAAAACTTTCTATATTTCAGATATATTAAATCTTTAAATACTGACATGACATTTTAAGGATAGAGCCGGCATATAGGGCTGTTCACCTGAGCCGACGGGTAAAAATTTTTAATTTCATGTTCTATACTTGTGAGTTAGGGAAAACTATTTCTTTGGTCAAATCTATATGATTGAGGGTAATGTTTCAAGCCAAATTTTATCCAAAAAATCGGCTCAGAAAGTCACGTCAAAATGCGGAATGTTTCACAAATTTTAAAACTTTAACTTTTTAAATTTTGAGACATTTATACAACTCAATTATCAATTTTTATGGTTACTTTTACAGCTAGACTATTAAAATATTTATATTCAGACCCCCAAAATTTATAATTTAATCACACTTTTAGACCCCTTGACATTTAAATATTATAGACAGATCCCCCAGATTTATACACGTATAACACTTAAATCTCTACCGTCAATGTCCGTCAAAATATCCATTAGTAAAATGTTATAATCAAAAATAGAATATCAAATATTATAAATTTTTGAACCAAAATTTATGTTATATAATGTCATTTATTGATATAAATTAAAAATAAAAATCTTTTTTTTCTTAAAAAATCATAATTAGTATACAATTATACTATCTATTAGAATAAAATTAAAAAAAAAATAAAGGGTCAAACTGTAATAAACACAATATCTTCTATCTTTAATTGGAATAGTTTGGTCGTTTAATAGATAGTATAATTGTATACTAATTATATCTTTTTTTTTTAAAATTAAATTTTTATTTTTGATTTTATTTCAATAAATGACATAATAGAATAATAATTTTGGTTACCAAATTTTTTTAAATTTGATATTCTTTCTTTGATTGGATTATTTTTTATTTAAGTATAACATTTTAAACTTGAGGGGTACAAATATTATACGCTTATAAACTTCAGAAGTCTGAGTATAATTTATTAACAGATATTCTAATAGACATTGATGACAGGAATCTGAGTGTTATCCGCGTACAAACTTTAGAGGTCTATGTATAATATTTTAGATATATCCTTAATATACCGAATCATTAGGTACTTTACCTAAATATTTCAAATTGGTTGGATTACACTGGACCCATGAGTAAAACTGCTTATATCATCATAACTGATGCTTAATTGATTATTGTAATTTGATTGTCTGATATGATTGTTGAGTTTATTGTTGAATTGGTCAAAATTTATTGGGGTTAATTTTCACTACACTTCTTCAACCCTCTGGGGTCCCAGGTCTTTTGAGATCTAACCAATGCTCCCACTAAACATTTAAACAACATACTCAGGGAACAAATCTTTTTCACTTCACTAGGCAGTAAGGTGGTAGTTGACATACAATGTCTGGTTCTTGTATCAAGGACGGCAAGTAAATAAAGCAAGGTCGACGGACTAAAAAAATATGTACTTACCTCTGCAAAACACGCAATTGTTGAAGCTGGAACCTTTGATGCAAACTCTGGAGTGTTTTAGAGAATATACTGGGCCAGCACAAACTAGAAACTGAACTCACTTTCCTCGCCCTAGACCTGGTTAGGAAACAGCTGGACCTCCAGCAACTTTTCCATTCACAGAGAAGTATCTCACCATATAATCCCTTGCCAAGTACACCATTTCAGAAAGAGCATCAAAGCTAGCATGTCTCCACCATCGCAGTTGCTGGAATCAAGTAGCAGCTTACCAGATGGTAGCTAAACTGAAGCACCAAAAGTCAAGTCAAAAGTGAATTCACTTCAGCTGAGACTAGCTACCAAGCGAAGATTTAGAAACGTGAAGGCTGGCCACAAGGGAAGAGTATACAGTGTCATCAGGTGTAAGGCCTGCCTCTATCATCTCATCATACAACCTAAAAGCTTCATCTGATCTTCCCTCCTTTGACAAGCCTGAAATCAACGCAGTGTAAGTTACCATGTTTGGGACTAAACCTCTCCAAGCTATCTGCTTAATAAATAGTTTCAGAGCCTCATCCATCTTTCCAAATACACATTCTCCATGTAGAAGTGATGTGTATGTATATATGTCAGGCAAAAGCCCTTTACTTTCCATCTCATCTCTTAGCTTTTGAGCTTCCTTCATCTTTCCTTTCTTGCAATATCCATCTATCAGGGCATTGTATGTCACAACATTAGGTCTCTCTCCGTTATTCTCCATCTCTCTGAACACTCTTTGAGCTTCAACAAGATTTCCTTCTTTGCAATATAAATCTATCAAAGTTGTGAACGTGACTGTGTTTGGAGCCACACCCCTATCAACCATTGAGAACAGCAACCCCTTTGCTTCCTCATGCCGATTCAGTTTACACATCCCAGTAGCAATGATATTATAAACAAATACATCAGCCTCAAGCCCTTTTTTCTCCATGATAACCTTCAATCTCATCGCTTCATCTAGCATCCCCCACTTACAATATCCATCCATCAATGTGTTAAATATCACCCGATTTGCATCAAGGCCTTTGCTTTGCATCTCGTTGAGCAAACTTTCCGCCGCCTTTATCTCCCCAGCTTTGCACACACCATTTATCAAAGCCCCATAAGTGTGGGCATTTGGAACAAGGCCCCTCTCTGTCAATCCATCAAACAATTTAAATGCCCTCTTTATATTCCCTAACTTACAGTTCCAACTAATGAGTGAAGTGTAGACATGAACATCAGCCTCTATACCCTTCTCATGCATTTCCTCAAATAGTTTCTCTGCTTGTTCAATATTGCCAGAGCTCGAATACCCCTCAATCAAAGAAGTATATGTCGCCACATTGTGTGATACTCCTTCCTTCTCCATTGCAGTCAACATTTCTTTGACTTTCTCAAAATCCATTTTTCTCATATACGCATCTACTAATGTATTATATGTATAAGCATTGGGTTTAGTCCCTCTACCAATCATTTCATTCATTAATTCTCTTGCATTATCAACCTCTCCTCTTTTACACAATCCATCAATCACCATTGTCATTGAATAAACCGTAATTCTCACCCCCGACTCAACCATCATACGAAAGAACCCAAACAAAGACTCCAGTTGATCACTTCTCTTGAGTGCAAGTAAATAAACCATGCAAGACCTCTCATCAATCTCAAACCCATTATTTTTCATGTACTCAAAAACCTCTAGACCTTCTTTAAACCTTCTATTGTCAACGTACACCCTAAATAGCATATCAAATAGCTTCACAACAATTTTGGGTTCTTTATAATCAACCGCTACAAAAGAAGCTATGTCTGCGACTGGACGGATGAGATCATCATCAAGAGCAACATGGTTCAATACATTCTTGGCTTCAGCAAATTTTCGGGCTTTGAATAAGCGGCAGACTACAGTTATGTGGGCTTGAAGATCGGGTTTTTGCGAAGACAGAAATGGGTTGGTCTGGAGGAATTTGAAAAAGTGTAAGCAAGATTGGGTAGATACATGTGGGTTTGATAGAACAAGGTTCGTTACTTCGGAATTATAATTGGAAATGAGAGACTGTGGGAATTGGAGGTGTTTAGAGGATGACGTAATTAGGGTTTTGGAAATGAAATTGGAAATTTCAAGATTTGATTTTGAGGTGGAGTTTGCTGGGAAAACTTGTTTGACAGTATTGAAGAATCTTTGAGTTGACATTTCCCCAGAGAAAATAAAAGAAGCAACTATAAGCTTTGAATATCAGAAACCCGATTGTACCTGCTGAGGGAGTAAAATAGTAGAGAGAAAGAGAGAGAGACGGGTGATCAGTGATGTACCTGCTAAGGGAGTGAAGCAAATCGTGAAGAAGTGTAGAAAATCGTCAAGGCAGTAAGATCGATCTGATTATGGTGGTGGAGGACTCCGACAGTCGACCACACTTCGCCGATTTGTCAATTGTTTGATTCCTTCGAGGCTTCGACAGTCGACACTTCGACTGAGAGAGAGAAAGGCTTCGACAGTCGGCATCATCAATTACAAAGTTGAGCAACTTATCAATTTTGGTTCCCTGCTTCTCAAGCATTTCATCAAGCTGTATGCGGATACTTTGAGAGAGAGAGAGTCGCCTGAGCTGCTCGCCGGACTCGAGGGAGGCAGAAGAGGCGCAGCACATCAGAAGTTGCAAAACGATTAGGGCAAAACTGCCCAAAACTTCAAAAGCTTGGATTTTTATTCCCTTTTAAATACCCCGCCCAGGTTGTAAAAAACCGAACGGTTTAGCGGGGTTGAGACAAGAACCGGACGATTCATCGAATTTTATCTAGCTTTTATTCTTAAACTATCTAATAAGTGAACCGTCCCGGTTTAATTCCGGTTCACGGGTCAATCCATCGGACCGAACCGGGGTTTAGACTGTTAATAAAACTGGTCCTGTACAAAACTTGAACTCAAAAATTCTTTTTTTTTTTTTTTTAAACATTTTTTTTTTGGGGGGAGGAGAAGGGAGAAGGAGAAGTTGAACATTTAACCTCAATAAAACAAAGTCTTTACAATACAAGAAATACTATTGGACCAAAGGCCCACCGGTGAACTCAAAAATTCAAGTAGTAGGTTTGCATGTCAAAAGGTAATGTAATTTTTTGATAATTATTTAGTACTATTTATATTATTATGGTAAATATTAATAAAGCTTAATTTAACATTTTCATCTAGGGCCATGCTATCCACGGGGTCAGGTTAATGGCATAGCAATTGAAGCCGCAATTTTAGGTCCCTAAATCATTAGGGCCCCATTTTGTAAAGTTTAATCAAGTCTAACACTTAAATAAAATTTTTAGATACATATTCAGTTCAATTTTATTTTATTACCTTAAAAAAATAAAATTTAGAGTTTTTTCAGATTTGATTTGTTTTTTTTCATTGATTATATTAACATTAAATTTAGTAAAATTATATTTTACCAATACACCAAGCATCATACTTTTTTTGAATTAATTATACCTTCTATTCAGAAAACCACCTTAACAAAATTTTAATATAAAAATCTAATAAATATTTTTGCATCTCAAAAAATAATAATATAAATAATATTGTATAATTATTTAAATTTTAAAATTAATAAGACTTCATTTAAATTTTTACTTTAGACCTCATTTTGTGTTGGGACGCTCCTGAGAATCCTTTTTCTTTTTTTCAGGGTGTCCGAATTATGGGTGTTAATCGAGATGAGTTACTCAAACTCGACTTAAATAGGGTTCAACTCAAGCTCAACTAGTGTTTTAAACGAACTAAACATAAACAATTTTTTAGGTTCGTTTTTTTAAACACAACTCATTTATATGTAAAATAATTAAATTCTTAGAATTCGCCTCCAGCTTGGACTCAACTCATCTTCTAAATAAATTGAGTTTGAATAATTTTTTAGGTTCGTTTAGAAAAATGAATTCGTCAGACTCATGTTTAAGCTCGCAAATCTCTCGATTCAATTAACACCCCTAGTTCGGACTAATTTACGCACGTATCGATTAATCTCCAATCCAATCAAAAATTTATGAGGAATAAATCCTGATACCCAGAATTGCACTAAAATTCAAACTCTACTGAATTTCTAACTTGCTGTAAATTATCCAACAATCCTTCCATGGTTGGTGCGCATGCTTTATAATTCTACCTTGTCATGCTCAAATTACCAACCAAAATGTGCAGTCCGGGTTGTGGTCCAACGCACAAGGTACCAGTGAGTCAGGACAGTGCAATTTGCAACGAATCATGTTCAGTAACATTGACAGCCTCTTTTCATCCAACTTGTGAATCTACTCAATGCACCATTCCATCGGTTTTTTTTAAGTTATAAGAGTGTCTAAGTTTGCAAATTGCAATGACTATCTCCTTGAACCAATTTTATATAATTTTTTAAATTCTTTGTAAAAACGAGCCTTAAAAAATTTTTGAGTGTATAAAAGAAAAGTAATACTATGTATCTCAAATTTATAATTTAAATTGTATCTCAAATCAAGACTAAGATCTCATCAATTTTTTTAAATAAAATTTATTGATCTAATAATCTTTCTTAATTTAAAATATAAATTTAAGATACATGTCGTTACTCGTAAACAGAGACAGAGAAGGGACCAGAGCAACGTTGTTTTCGCAGTACTTCAATTTGCTTCTCTCATATCCATTACACCAATCTTTTCTTTCACCGACGGAAAATAGAAACAGACCATTGAATCTCTACCTTTTATGAAACTCTGCACAGAACAGAGAATAGAAACTCTCTCTTTCTCTCTCATTGGAAAGATTAAAGCACTGTTTGGCTCTTGCTTCGTCGTCGTCGTCTCTCCGGTGCTCGCTCGTTTACTTCAAATTCAGCATCTTCAATTATCGAAAATTTGGGTTCTGAAGCTCTGAACCCTTCACGCCATTGCTCATAAAGTAGTCCAATTTTGGTCTTCTATCAATGCTGTGGTTAATTTGATCATTTTCTTAAAGCTGAGCTTCTAATTCTGCTTAGCGGTGGGATTGGATTGAACCTGTTCTAGTTTTTTGTCCGGTTTTAGTAATTTGATAGTTAATCTGAGTAAATCACTATTTTAATGGAGCAAATGGAAGGAACTGAGGTTAGATCCGCGAGTTGCGGAGCCAAATCCGAAGAAATTGAAGTTGATTCGTTTCGATTCCGCGAAGAAATTCAACGATTAATGCCCATACCACCACCGGAGACTGGTAGTTCCTTCACCGCTCTTCTTGAACTTCCGGCGAATCAAGCCATGCAGATCCTAGACTCCCCGGAAACTGATGATGCGCCGCCAACACTTTACGGCTGCCGAATTGAACATCCCAAACCTTGTATGACTATTTTCCCGTCGTGCACGGCTTTAGTAGATCAAACTTCGAAGCCCTCCGTCTTTGCAACGGCCGAAAAGTGTTGGCGAATTCGAGCTCAAAATTGGATAAGGTGAAGCAAGAACCGATAGATTGGGGGTTAAACCCTAATTCACTGGGTTTGAAGCATAATCAGAGATCATCAGCAAAGAGAAAGGAGCGAGAAAAGAAGGTAATTCTCCGAATTCCAAATTAGGGTTCCTGGTGATCCATTTATAGCATTTGATCATTTTTTTTTGGTTAAATTAGGTTAAAGGATCCAACGACAAGAGCAAAACTGTAGCAAATTAGAAAATCGAAGATGGCGAAAAGCTTCCGTACGTTCACGTTCGAGCTCGTCGTGGTCAAGCAACAGATAGCCATAGCTTAGCTGAAAGAGTAACTTCATAATTATCAGAGTTCATTAACTTTATAATCAGGCATTAACATAAGTATGATTAGTTGTTGATTAGTTTCGTGTTTATATGTATAGGCGAGGAGAGAAAAGATTAATGCAAGGATAAAGCAACTGCAAGAACTGATCCCGGGATGTAAAAAGGTTAGCTGTCGTTTTCTTCATCTTTTTCTTGATGAGATTTCGGATTAGGATATCTGTCTCGATTATGCCTTGGCATTAGGCTTTAGTTAAAAGGCTAATGTCTTTTCGGAAAGTATACGAGGCTAATGTTGTCACACCCCCACCCCCGATCACATAAGGTGAGCAGCAGGCCGGTCACTAAAGTCTTAACCAACTAACTTTGTACATAATAAATGCAAAATATTGCAGAAGACAAATAATAAAGTGATTCATTCTACTAACCTAATGAATACCAGATGAATAAACTAAACATCATTACTAAACTCATATGAAATAATAATCAAATAATAAGGTTTACTATTCCAAATACGAGTAACATTGTTCTCAAAATAATGAAATATTTATCTAAAAACTACAAAAGACATTTATTCTTGAAGACATACAATAAAATAAATCTTCAAGTCTTCTAATCTCTTGTCTATCTGTGGACTTACTCCTCACCTTGATCCCCACTTAGAAAATATTAAGTGTTTATATGAACACAACGATCTGTGAATAGCAATCACGTCTAATGAGGTGTGAAAATAAGTCTCACAGTTTATATACAAAAATAAATTTTGATACATACATAAGTACAAAAAATTGTACTCCCAACCCCTCTCACTTAATCATTTAACAAAATGATCTCATATTCACCAATAACTTTAAAAATAAAAAGACATTTATAACCTAAAACACCCACTTATTTTCACAAATAACTTTATAAATGAAAAAAACAGTTATAACCTAAAACACTCACACACACATTCAATTTTAAATATATTTGTCATATCATGTTTATTATCACTGGCCTGGTAATTGGCCCCGTCTCTTTTCACCACTAACCTAGTAATTGGTTCCATCTTTTGCCATTATTAGCATGATAACTGACTCTTATGTGTACATCCCTATACAGATCACACCGGTATACTTTTAATCTCGTAACCATTTAGACCTGTTAACACAATCCCCGTTTTATAAAACATGATTTTTACACACACCAAAACTGTTGTTTTAATCTCAACGCACACAAAATTTTTCTTCTATCACCAAAAAATATTTAAACAATGATATAAAATCATCCCACAAGTTTTCAAAATTCACATGTACCACAATTTAAAATTGCAAAACATTTAATTACAAACCCAAATATCAACACATATATCATATATACAAAATATCTACACACACACACACCCTCAAATTTAATATAAAAATTCCTTCTAAAAGAAGTAATAAACTACTCACCTTGATTCCCAAAATCCAATTCAAAACTCTATTTTTCAATCTCAACGCAATCACTACCTAATCCAAAATAACATATAACGATCAATCTTTATTTTTAACTTCGTCATTTTGCGATTCTATATTTAATTTACATACTTCCTACCTATTAATATATATTTAATATATCTTTTACATAAAAATAACATTCTTAATGTGAGCTAATACGGTATGGAAGTAACGAGGGCAGTTTATAAAAAGTTCATCCACTGAAAGTTACACGACCTATAACTTTCTTCCTTCTTCCCCTTTGCTTTCTTTTTACTTCCCTTTTTTTTTTTAACACATTAAATAAATTCTTTAAAAACTTCAAGACCAACCAATCTATAAAAACACCTAGCCACTTTCAATAAAACTTATTTACATATTCATCAATATTCTTCATCAATATATATATATATATGTATTCATTATCACTATTTATAATAAACTTAATACTATGTAATTGAATAAATTACAAAATCCACCAAATAATTAATAAATTTATACCTTCAAGGGTCCAATTCCTTTTTCTTTTTCGTTCGTCTTTTCTTTCTTTTATCTCTCTCTCTCTCTCTCGTATATATATATTTTTTTTGTTTGCTGCCACTTACTTTGGTCTTCTAAGGTTTTACCTATCCAACAATACTACTTTATTTAAAGCACATGTAGAATAGTTCTAATAGGTCTCTTCAGAGGCAAGACTTTCCTTAAAATTCATCCCTTCCCCTTTAGTTATTATTATTATTATTTTATAATTACTCTTAGTATCCAATACACTAAATAAATTTTTTTCTTATCTATTTATTTATTAGAAAGGTCCAAACACATACCGATATTGGATATTACAAATGTTATTCTCACCTTTTTAACAAAAACTAGTCCGCTTTTGCTCGCAGTAAAGTGTTTTGGCTGGTTGTTGATATGGCTCTTTCGTGGTACATTCCAATACCAGTACCTTTCTTTCAACTTTTCAACTTCCACCTTTACATACGAATGTTAAGACATAGACACTTTTTTTTTTTTTGGGGTGGGGGGTTAGAATCCTTTTTAAGTCTAATTGATGAAGGGAAGAACGGATATCTGAGCCCTATTATCGTGAAAATGAGGAAAGAAAGATAAAGATATCTCCTAGTGATATTTGATTTTAGTTTGTAATGAAGTGTTTAACAGCCATTTGAGAGATGCATGGTACAAGGAAATGGTCAAAGTTACTAAGTTTGGCTTCCACCTCAACTATGATGACCCAAAAACAATTCTAGAACACATCTGTTGGCGGCCTAACCCGAACTTTGTATAATATGTGATAGTTCATGGGTCTTAATTGATGTATGCGAGTAGAAGAGGATTTATGTTTTATACTCCATTTGTTTCTATAAAAATGGAAAAAGAAACAAAATGGCAAAGCAGCTCAAATAGTTCGACGTAATGCATAATTCTCTGTTGGACCACCAATTATTATGGTTTGTAACTTTAAAAGTCTGCTGGAGCTTCCATGACTGAGAAATTGTTGATTTAAATGCTGTCAGATCTCGCCTACCTTTTAAAAGAAACGGTGTCAGGTCTGAGTTGCACCAACATGATGGCTCTCTGTTTCTTGATTAATTGAGCATGTACCACACTAGGGTAGGATCTAACTGTATATTTATGGGTAGTGAGACTTAGGAGGCAATACTCCCTAAATATAGGGTACTACCTTTGAAGTAAGATTTTTGGACAAAAGGTTGATTTGGAAACCACCTTACTTGCTTACTTTCTTCTGTGCCCACAATTATTTCAGTGTTTGGTTCATTTTTGGCCAGTTAAGGGGAATCATTTGTGGCATACCTTAAGCAGTCATTCTTGCCTGATTTGGTTTCCATTATTTANTTCAATTTGCTTCTCTCATATCCATTACACCAATCTTTTCTTTCACCGACGGAAAATAGAAACAGACCATTGAATCTCTACCTTTTATGAAACTCTGCACAGAACAGAGAATAGAAACTCTCTCTTTCTCTCTCATTGGAAAGATTAAAGCACTGTTTGGCTCTTGCTTCGTCGTCGTCGTCTCTCCGGTGCTCGCTCGTTTACTTCAAATTCAGCATCTTCAATTATCGAAAATTTGGGTTCTGAAGCTCTGAACCCTTCACGCCATTGCTCATAAAGTAGTCCAATTTTGGTCTTCTATCAATGCTGTGGTTAATTTGATCATTTTCTTAAAGCTGAGCTTCTAATTCTGCTTAGCGGTGGGATTGGATTGAACCTGTTCTAGTTTTTTGTCCGGTTTTAGTAATTTGATAGTTAATCTGAGTAAATCACTATTTTAATGGAGCAAATGGAAGGAACTGAGGTTAGATCCGCGAGTTGCGGAGCCAAATCCGAAGAAATTGAAGTTGATTCGTTTCGATTCCGCGAAGAAATTCAACGATTAATGCCCATACCACCACCGGAGACTGGTAGTTCCTTCACCGCTCTTCTTGAACTTCCGGCGAATCAAGCCATGCAGATCCTAGACTCCCCGGAAACTGATGATGCGCCGCCAACACTTTACGGCTGCCGAATTGAACATCCCAAACCTTGTATGACTATTTTCCCGTCGTGCACGGCTTTAGTAGATCAAACTTCGAAGCCCTCCGTCTTTGCAACGGCCGAAAAGTGTTGGCGAATTCGAGCTCAAAATTGGATAAGGTGAAGCAAGAACCGATAGATTGGGGGTTAAACCCTAATTCACTGGGTTTGAAGCATAATCAGAGATCATCAGCAAAGAGAAAGGAGCGAGAAAAGAAGGTAATTCTCCGAATTCCAAATTAGGGTTCCTGGTGATCCATTTATAGCATTTGATCATTTTTTTTTGGTTAAATTAGGTTAAAGGATCCAACGACAAGAGCAAAACTGTAGCAAATTAGAAAATCGAAGATGGCGAAAAGCTTCCGTACGTTCACGTTCGAGCTCGTCGTGGTNTTGGTTAAATTAGGTTAAAGGATCGAACGACAAGAGCAAAACTGTAGCAAATGAGAAAATCGAAGATGGCGAAAAGCTTCCGTACGTTCACGTTCGAGCTCGTCGTGGTCAAGCAACAGATAGCCATAGCTTAGCTGAAAGAGTAACTTCATAATTATCAGAGTTCATTAACTTTATAATCAGGCATTAACATAAGTATGATTAGTTGTTGATTAGTTTCGTGTTTATATGTATAGGCGAGGAGAGAAAAGATTAATGCAAGGATAAAGCAACTGCAAGAACTGATCCCGGGATGTAAAAAGGTTAGCTGTCGTTTTCTTCATCTTTTTCTTGATGAGATTTCGGATTAGGATATCTGTCTCGATTATGCCTTGGCATTAGGCTTTAGTTAAAAGGCTAATGTCTTTTCGGAAAGTATACGAGGCTAATGTTGTCACACCCCCACCCCCGATCACATAAGGTGAGCAGCAGACCGGTCACTAAAGTCTTAACCAACTAACTTTGTACATAATAAATGCAAAATATTGTAGAAGACAAATAATAAAGTGATTCATTCTATTAACCTAATGAATACCAGATGAATAAACTAAACATCATTACTAAACTCATATGAAATAATAATCAAATAATAAGGTTTACTATTCCAAATACGAGTAACATTGTTCTCAAAATAATGAAATATTTATCTAAAAACTACAAAAGACATTTATTCTTGAAGACATACAATAAAATAAATCTTCAAGTCTTCTAATCTCTTGTCTATCTGTGGACTTACTCCTCACCTTGATCCCCACTTAGAAAATATTAAGTGTTTATATGAACACAACGATCTGTGAATAGCAATCACGTCTAATGAGGTGTGAAAATAAGTCTCACAGTTTATATACAAAAATAAATTTTGATACATACATAAGTACAAAAAATTATACTCCCAACCCCTCTCACTTAATCATTTAACAAAATGATCTCATATTCACCAATAACTTTAAAAATAAAAAGACATTTATAACCTAAAACACCCACTTATTTTCACAAATAACTTTATAAATGAAAAAAACAGTTATAACCTAAAACACTCACACACACATTCAATTTTAAATATATTTGTCATATCATGTTTATTACCACTGGCCTGGTAATTGGCCCGGTCTCTTTTCACCACTAACCTAGTAATTGGTTTCGTCTCTTGCCATTACTAGCATGATAACTGACCCTTATGTGTACATCCGTATACAGATCACACCGGTATACTTTTAATCTCGTAACCATTTAGACCTGTTAACACAATCCCCGTTTCATAAAACATGATTTTTACACACACCAAAACTGTTGTTTTAATCTCAACGCACACAAAATTTTTCTTCTATCACCAAAAAATATTTAAACAATGATATAAAATCATCCCACAAGTTTTCAAAATTCACATGTACCACAATTTAAAATTGCAAAACATTTAATTACAAACCCAAATATCAACACATATATCATATATACAAAATATCTACACACACACACACACCCTCAAATTTAATATAAAAATTCCTTCTAAAAGAAGTAATAAACTACTCACCTTGATTCCCAAAATCCAATTCAAAATTCTATTTTTCAATCTCAACGCAATCACTACCTAATCCAAAATAACATATAACGACCAATCTTTATTTTTAACTTCGTCATTTTGCGATTCTATATTTAATTTACATACTTCCTACCTATTAATATATATTTAATATATCTTTTACATAAAAATAACATTCTTAATGTGAGCTAATACGGTATGGAAGTAACGAGGGCAGTTTATAAAAAGTTCATCCACTGAAAGTTACACGACCTATAACTTTCTTCCTTCTTCCCCTTTGCTTTCTTTTTACTTCCCTTTTTTTTTTTAACACATTAAATAAATTCTTTAAAAACTTCAAGACCAACCAATCTATAAAAACACCTAGCCCCTTTCAATAAAACTTATTTACATATTCATCAATATTCTTCATCAATATATATATATATATATATATGTATTCATTATCACTATTTATAATAAACTTAATACTATGTAATTGAATAAATTACAAAATCCACCAAATAATTAATAAATTTATACCTTCAAGGGTCCAATTCCTTTTTCTTTTTCGTTCGTCTTTTCTTTCTTTTATCTCTCTCTCGTATATATATTTTTTTTTTGTTTGCTGCCACTTACTTTGGTCTTCTAAGGTTTTACCTATCCAACAATACTACTTTATTTAAAGCACATGTAGAATAGTTTTAATAGGTCTCTTTAGAGGCAAGACTTTCCTTAAAATTCATCCCTTCCCCTTTAGTTATTATTATTATTATTTTATAATTACTCTTAGTATCCAATACACTAAATAAATTTTTTTCTTATCTATTTATTTATTAGAAAGGTCCAAACACATACCGATATTGGATATTACGAATGTTATTCTCACCTTTTTAACAAAAACTAGTCCGCTTTTGCTCGCAGTAAAGTGTTTTGGCTGGTTGTTGATATGGCTCTTTCGTGGTACATTCCAATACCAGTACCTTTCTTTCAACTTTTCAACTTCCGCCTTTACATACGAATGTTAAGACATAGACACTTTTTTTTTTTTTGGGGTGGGGGGTTAGAATCCTTTTTAAGTCTAATTGATGAAGGGAAGAACGGATATCTGAGCCCTATTATCGTGAAAATGAGGAAAGAAAGATAAAGATATCTCCTAGTGATATTTGATTTTAGTTTGTAATGAAGTGTTTAACAGCCATTTGAGAGATGCATGGTACAAGGAAATGGTCAAAGTTACTAAGTTTGGCTTCCACCTCAACTATGATGACCCAAAAACAATTCTAGAACACATCTGTTGGCGGCCTAACCCGAACTTTGTATAATATGTGATAGTTCATGGGTCTTAATTGATGTATGCGAGTAGAAGAGGATTTATGTTTTATACTCCATTTGTTTCTATAAAAATGGAAAAAGAAACAAAATGGCAAAGCAGCTCAAATAGTTCGACGTAATGCATAATTCTCTGTTGGACCACCAATTATTATGGTTTGTAACTTTAAAAGTCTGCTGGAGCTTCCATGACTGAGAAATTGTTGATTTAAATGCTGTCAGATCTCGCCTACCTTTTAAAAGAAACGGTGTCAGGTCTGAGTTGCACCAACATGATGGCTCTCTGTTTCTTGATTAATTGAGCATGTACCACACTAGGGTAGGATCTAACTGTATATTTATGGGTAGTGAGACTTAGGAGGCAATACTCCCTAAATATAGGGTACTACCTTTGAAGTAAGATTTTTGGACAAAAGGTTGATTTGGAAACCACCTTACTTGCTTACTTTTTTCTGTGCCCACAATTATTTCAGTGTTTGGTTCATTTTTGGCCAGTTAAGGGGAATCATTTGTGGCATACCTTAAGCAGTCATTCTTGCCTGATTTGGTTTCCATTATTTACAGATGTGTGCACTCCAGTTCTATTCACATTCTGATATCTTGTTATAATTTTTCTTTTATCATATTTGTGATCGTTTGAACCTGAAAACTTGCTGATTGGACCCGTATGTGGTCCTTTGTAAATTTTTTGTATAACAATTGGAGATGAATCACTGGGCTTGTTGGCACTCCTGCTCTTAAGTTGATAGTGCAGTCTTTCATTGCCCAGCCAAACTACACTGAAAAAAATAATGTATCTCTTAATGTGAAGGAACTACAGTACAATTGCAAATGTCTTTTCAACAAAAAGTATCAATAAACACAAACTGCATGAGCTTCCATTGTTTTTCAATTTAAGGAACTGACATATAGATCTTATCGAAAACTTAAAAAAAATAGAGCTCATATATGGCAGCATGGCAGAAGCTTGCAGTGGGCATTTTTTATTTTACATGCTATGTATTAAAGGAAGTTAACATCTTCNATAATTAAAAATTCTTGAAATTGTAATTTAAAATTCTTGATATTTAAATTAAAATTCCAGCAATCTTTCCGATATAATTTGCAATTAACCCTACATATAAACACTCTAGTTCCGCACAGCATCCCTCTATCCGTTGAAAAATGCCGTCCCCGAAACCCCTGGCGACCGCCGCTGGCATGCTCCAAAACCGCCTGAGCACCACCCTCCGTACACGAGGCGGTGGCGGCGATGGCCCGAGCCGGTGGGCCACAGCCGGCCACCAAGAACGCCCCAACGGTTATTTTTTGAACCGGACACCTCCACCGCCGGGTCAGTCGAGGAAGTGGGAGGACTGGGAACTTCCATGCTACATTACCAGCTTCCTCACTATCGTCATCCTCGGCGTTGGGCTCAACGCCAAGCCCGATCTCACCATCGAGACGTGGGCACACCAGAAAGCCCTCGAACGCCTCGAATCGGCCCAACAGATGGCGACCCTTTCTGATGATTCCGAGTGATTTACCAATTTTGGTAAGATTAATTTGGATATCGAATTAGAATGATCTGTTGATATTATGGTGTTTTGTGGTGTACTTGGGAGAATAAGGGTTCTTAATTGTTGAATTGGGCACTTCACTTCTTTGTTTACAAGGACGATTAATTATTGGAAAGTTGACTGTTCCTTTTCCGATGTTGCAATTACAATGTATCAAACGTCGAGAGAAATTTCTGATTTTCTTAACTGAGTTATGTGTTTCCGTGTTGATCACCAGTTTCTACCTTCTAGATTGATTAGAAAATTATTCAATTGGATGCGTTTGGATGCTAATAGGTTCACCACTGAGGTATGATAGTTTTCAGAAGTTAGGTCCCACATTATATCGATATATGCTGTATTTGACTTTATTGTTGCATAGTCGGAATTATGTGCTGTCAAATGTGTTCGATCCCCTGCTGAAGCTTATAACTTGGAGTGCTGTGTTTGTCTTGTTTCCTTTCTTTCTTTCTTTCTTTCTTTTTTTTCTTTCAATTGAACAATAGCTCCTTATCCTTAATACTTAATATTAATAACCTTGTTGTTAGCAGATGTTTTGCATTATGAAACCTCCATGGATTCAGTTTGTACCCAAATCCTCAAGTTTTACACCCACTGTGAACTTTGGGANCTTGTTTGAGGTATAAGAGTGATATAAGGGGGTGGTATAAGAAAAATAGTACGTGGGGCCTAACTTAAACCTTGTTTATTTGACATTTTTTATTAGATACTAATTTATGGGTCATAGTACCAACCCGGTGTGAACAGTAACACTAATGTCTTCTACACGGTGGTATTATATTCTCGGTATAAATGAATAGAGGTATAATAAACTAAAAATACCGAAATGCCCTCGTGTACAATGCTCATGTAAAAGCATAGTTGCAATTTTTGACTTTTTCAGATTAAAATTGTCTTTTTACATTGGTTAGCTGCAATTGTTGATTTTTTTAAGTAGGGTATTACACAGATAATGTTTATGACAAACAAACAAGGGGAAGGATGAGATTATAGTTTAAAATCGGGTATAATATACCATCTATATCTTATACCGAGAATATAGTTTAAGATCAGAGTGGAATGAATATAAAATCTTATACCACTTAAATCTTATACTCAAAACAAATGGCCCCTTGGTGAGTAAATTTGATCACCACAGTATTATTACTGATCAAAATATTAGAGGAGTAATATTATTGTAACTTAAAAAATTAACTTAATTTGGTGATTAATCAAGTGATAGAATCTCAATAAAGAAATCAGTTATAATCACAACACACTGTTGAACACACTATTGGACTATGTCATTGTGAATAAATTATGACAGTTTTTTAAATTTCAATAGAATTACTCATATTAGAACGGAATTTCATTTCTTTTTATAATTAATATTTTTTATTTATTTTCTAGGGTATAAAAATTTTATTGATAGAACTAGGATAATGCAACCTCTCAACTTTCCTTCTCTCTCCTTTGTTTTTTCAGTATACAAAGAAAAATACCAACATGGTAAGATTGCACTGCCAAGTATGTACCCCTTGTGATAATAAATAAATAAATTGTATTAAAAAAAAACCATTATTTAATAACAGAGTACAGTGGCGTCAGTCCCCGTAACAGATCTGTCTTGGATTCCTTCACATACACCTTCATTTCAATGTCACCCAATGCAATCATCTGCTTTGTAAGTCTATTAAATGTTTGCGTCAATTATACTTTCAAACTTTAATATTGGTAATAATAGTTTAAACGAGTTTAGAATATATTTTTTAAAAAATAAGGGTGATTGACATTTAAGAAATATGTGAAATATTAAATAAAAGATAACTAAATTACTAAAAAGTAAGCTTAGTCACTGAATCACTCTTAAATGTTCAAAAAATTATCTTTTGATACTAAGGGTTTCATCGAATCTGTGGTAAATAATCAATTGTTAAAAGAATTAAAAATAAAATATATGAGAAGAAATATACATACAAAAAATTGAGCAAGTTGAAAAAGATAATGCAATAGAAAGTTAAGATAATCTTTAAATAAATATTATAATTAATTTTAAAATATTAAAAATCGATCTAAAATAATCTCATTTTAGTATAGTCTCAAAGAAAATGAATTTACAATCTCAACCCTTATTCTATGATAATTTTAATATAAAAATACTTTTCCATCCCATAATCTTATCCCAAACTGATAAGTAACCAGTCAATCAAGCAGATCATGAATGACAACAGCTTTAAGCCTTTAAAACCCAACCCAACCCAACCCACCAACCACAAACCATTCCCCACCACCGCAAAATGGCAGAAACTGTCCCATTTCGCAGCCAATTATTACCCAGCTTAACCCTCATTCTCTTGTCCATCCTCCAATCAGATTCTGCCACGTCACGAATAATCCACCTTCCCAACCAATCCGACTCCAAGAACTTCACCATCTCCGTCATAGACTTTGGCGCCGTAGGCGACGGCGTCCACTACGACACCGTTCCGATCCAGACCGCCATCGACTCCTGCCCTCCCACGACCCACTGCCGCGTCACGTTCCCACCCGGGACCTACCTAACTGCCACGCTCCGCCTCAAATCCGGCGTCGTTTTGGACGTACAAAGAAACGCCACCATTTTGGGAGGTACGAAATTGGAAGACTACCCAGAAGAGAGTGATAAGTGGTACGTGGTATTGGCGGAGGAGGCAGAGAACGTGGGTATTACTGGTGGAGGAGAGATAAACGGGCAAGGGTTGAGGTTTGTGAAGAGGTTTGATGAGAGGAAGAATGTGATGGTGAGTTGGAATCGGACTGGGGCGTGTTTGGGTGATGAGTGCAGACCCAGGTTGGTTGGGTTCATTGGGTGTAGGAATGTGAAGGTTTGGGATGTCAAGTTGACTGAGCCGGCCTACTGGTGGTGCGTATGCCCCCTCCCCCCCCCTCTCTCTCTCTCTCACACACATACACACACACATTGATAATTGATTGAGTTTGCTTTGCTTGTGCTTGAGCTAAACTTTTATGGGAATTTGCAGTGATAACCTCAGTTTTCTATATATTTGTACTAGCATCCCTTATGTGCTGACTTATAATTCCTTCCCCTTTTTCCCAATTACCCTTTTTTTTTTAACTGTCCAATTCCCTTCTTCACCATAGTCTTTTTCCATCTTATCATTTAAGAAGTTGGAAAAATAATTATATGAAAACACGATTATAAAAACTAATTCTTCAAAAAATTTAAAAAGGTAGTGTGATTAGTTATGATTTATGAAGTAGTTTATGGATAATTATTCATATTAATTTATTTAAATAAATGGGTTTCATTAATTTTTTTGAATGAGATCCATTGATTTGCTTTAGTAAATTTTTTTGGTAAACACATCTTTGCCCTTCTAGAAAAGAATGAGACTCTTGCCTGACAAGTGTGGCTCTTCTCCAAGTGTTTAATGATTGGGATTATCATTTCTAATTCTGTTTAAAGAGTGAGGATTTATTCATGCCCATAAATTTTATTTTATTCAAAAAATATTTGAATATTTAAAAGAAATTGAATTTGTTTACGGGAATAATATTCGCTATTTAAAAAGAGTTAGAGCATCCTCCAATTATTTCCAAATTGAAGAGGTGCCTAACCCCTTGTAGTCACCAATTCAGCTCCATTCCAATTTAATAGGAATTGTGAAATTGGAGAGGAGTCTAACCCTACAATCACAATGTGCACACCAAAACATGGAATAAAACGGAATTGGAATGATATTTCTATTCCGCCCTTAATTTTGCTCTTTAAATTGGGCCTTTAAAGTCTTTTTTAACTTAGTTCCACTCATGAAAAAAAAATAATAATAAAGAGAAAGGAGGAAGAAGAAAGAGTAAAGTTAAACTATCTCCCACCCAAATATTGATGGATAAGTATAGAATAAACACTAACAAGTAACAGTGATATTCATGAGGATGGTTAGCATATGCTTCGTCCTTGGCCAACTTTTATTGAAGATGTGAAATTGCAGCCTATTAGGAATGTGTTTATAACCACTTTTAATATTCATTATTTTTAGAAAGAAGAAGTATCAAACGATTAAGGAAATTGCTATTTGAAATTCTTTCTTAATGCCTGTTTGAGGTATAATATGTTATCAACCCATAAGCTTTCAATCTTAAATGATTGAAATCCAGATAGAACATGCTCTTGGATTTTGAAACTTGAATTTTGTCAATCACTTTTGACTGAAATTGTCTAAAATTTTTGGGGCACTAATGAATTGCTAGAAATGTTATTGGTTCATCCATTCATTTAATTGAACTGGATTTATTATTCTTCTTTTCTTAAACTTTGCTTTTGAAGCCTGGCTACTGATATAGTCTTGCGGGTCTGGAAGAGCTAAGTGATTCATTGACAAAAATATTCCTATTGTGCTGAGTCTGATTCCTAAACTTAAACCCGCAACATATCATGAGTATTTGTCATGGCTTTGGCATTGATTAAGTGAAAAACTTATATTTTTCTTGTTTTGCAGCCCTTGTTTTCTTCTCCTCTGTTTAAAGTTCTATCCATTCTTTGAACAACTGCAGCTTGCACGTAGTACGGTGTGTCAACACATCCATTCTTGATGTTTCTATCTATGGGAATTTCGACAGTCCTAACAACGATGGTATAGATATAGAGGACTCCAACAATACAGTCATTACAAGATGCAAAATCAATACAGGAGATGATGCCATTTGCCCAAAGACATCTACAGGTCCCCTCTACAATCTAACAGCGACTGACTGTTGGATTCGAACAAAATCTTCAGCAATTAAACTCGGCAGTGCTAGTTGGTTTGATTTCAAGGGTCTGGTGTTTGACAATATCACCATTGTGGAGTCTCATAGAGGGCTTGGACTGCAGATACGTGATGGAGGTAACAGCATTTTGGTTTTCATGAATTCCTCCTTATTAAATTAAGGACTGCCTAAGATGCTTGATGCAGGAATGACAAAAAAAATACTTGTATTTTGATATTTGGATCACTTGAATAATCACTAGCTGCCAGCTGCTTATTCATGCCTGCCCATCTTAAAGATGTTTGCTGTTGCTAGTATGGCATAGTAAATAGGCTGTACAATGAACTGATCCACTTGAGATTGGCTCAGTTTTGACTTGTTCGAGTTTATTCAGATTAAGGTATGAGTCAAATGATGAAAATTTGAGGCTCAATTCACATCCAAGCCAAGTCCAAGCAAATGCAGCCGAGCTGGAACCAGTTTTATCTAGACCAAGCCAAGGTTGAGCAGTTATTTATTTGGCTCGGCTTGGCTCATTTTCGGCCTTAGTTCAAATAAAATAACAGGTGAAACAACTGCTGAAGGGATCCATTGCATTTCGGGTGCACTTGAACTTCCATTGAACAGAATATCCTTGAACATCAAATTTTACTTGTTTGTTGACAGTTATATCCTCCTCTATCATACTGTAGTATAGTGAGAATTATTCAGTCTGGAGACTTTATAGCTTACTTTAGCTTCTTCATTGGTGATTTGATTTCATGAATATTCACGCAGATCCAAAGTATTAGAAATTGAACTGAACAGAACTCAGTTCAACTCTGCAAAGCCTTGTCCCGATCACGTGGGCTTGGCAGCCTGAATTTTGTTTTGTTATTATGCTTTGTTAAGGACTATATGCAGTTAGTTTTGAAATTCACATGAATGTTAAACATTGTTTATAAAACTGTGAATGAGATTACCAATAGATTACCTATATGACTGATGCTTGTGCTATGTATTATGATTGTTTTGCTTTACAATTTGCTTGTGCTGAGATTCTTTGGTGCGAATGTCTTTTCAATTGTATGTCTGTGTGATTTTATATCCCTTGGGTCTGTAATCTTGATAATCTTTCATGGCTTTGGTTCATTATTTTGAACTTAGGCGAACGAGCAACACAAAAACATGTGATGAAAGTGGGCCTAGTCTATCATCAATCTGACACTTGAACTATTGAACTAATTCTAAGCTGAATGCATTCTACCTATATCATGCATCGCTAGATTGACATCAACCCTATTTTTCTGAAATTTAAACTGATAATTCTGATGTTACAAATTCTTCAATATTTCGCAGGAAATGTGAGTGACATAACTTTCTCAAACATAAATATCAGCACAAGATACTATGATCCGTCCTGGTGGGGGAGAGCAGAACCTATCTATGTGACTACTTGTCCAAGGGATAGTAACACCAAAGCTGGTTCTATCTCCAATATACAATTTGTTAACATCACAGCAACTTCTGAAAATGGTGTCTTCTTGTCGGGATCCAAAGGTGGAGTCTTGAGCCATTTGAAATTTGTTAATGTGAATCTTACCTACAGAAGATGGACAAATTATGCAGACGGGTTGCTCGATTACAGACCAGGATGCCAAGGACTTGTTAATCACAGCACAGCTGGGATTATGATGGAACACATTGAAGGTTTGGAGGTTGAAAACATAAACATGAGATGGTCTGAAGATAGGACTGGAAGATGGAATAATCCTTTGTATTTCAGGCCTTCCACTGTAAACAACATTTCTTTTCTTAATTTCCACTCAGGTTTGTACAAACTATAAGGGATGAGCTTGGAATCGAGATGAAACAATTTTTCTTTGGCGGAAATAAAATTTGAGTCAGATTCAAGATTTATTATCGAGTTTTTTCTTTTTCTTTTTCTTCTCTTTCTTATTCTTTTTTGGTGTTCGTTATAGATCAATGAGTTCTTGTAAAAAAGTAACTTATTTCTTTTCAAATGCATTAGTAAAGGATGCTTCCATGTTAAATTTTTTTAGTGAGAATGTTTTAGTTAGTGATGTGGCCTACACGCCTAAAAATTTCAGAGGGTCTAAATATAATTTATTAATAGATATATGACAAGAATCTAGTTGTATAGTAAATGTCTATCTATAACCAGTGTTCTAATATATATATTTCCATCTTATTATCTCATATATGTAAATTGTGTATGAAACAGGACTAAAATAGATATTTAATTATATAAATTAAGACTAATTTTGAAAAGTAAGGTGAAATTAAAAATTAGTTCTTAAAAGTGTGAAAAAGAGGGTTTTGAGAAGCTCCCCAATGAGACTTTCCTGCATCAAACATTCTCATTTGTAACTGAAGCACTAGCATCTTCGCAATGGAATTATTATTTATTTTAGGAAGAATTACACTCATACTCTTCAAGATTTATCGCTTAATCAATTATATCATTTGACATTTAAAATATTACACAGACCCTCAGAAGTTTGTGCAGACCCTTGTCGTCAATATCTATTAGAATATTCGTTAGTAAATTATATTTAGACCCTTATTTAATTTTTAATTTTTATTCCAATGGATAATATAATTGTATATTAATTACGATTTTTGAAGAAAATTTGATTTTTGATTTTGATTTTTGATTTTATTTCAATAAATGATACAATAGAATTTTAATTTTAATTTTAAAATTTAAAATATTTTATATTTTATATTTGTTTAAAATATTTTTTGTCTAAATATAATATTTTAAATTTAAGGAGATTAAATATTATACGCCTATAAACTTCAGAGAGTCTGAATATAATTTATTAACAGATATCGAGTGTGACAACATCTCTGCTTTGGCTCTTGCATCCAACCTTCTGTTTTATGCTCATACTAAACATGTTCCAACCTTCTGTTTTATGCTCGCACTAAATATGTGGAGATGGATTATCACTTCATCAGAGAATGGGTTATACGCAAATATATTGATGTCCAGTACATGTCTTGCGAATATCAAATTGCAAATGCTTTTACCAAGGGATTGACCACTGCTTGCTTTATCAAGCTCAGGGACTAACTGATGCTCGGTTCCCCTCCATCTCAGCATATTAACCCAACTGATCTCAACTAATCTAGCGTAGTTAACAACACTAACATAATTAGTTGTACAGCTGTGTTACTCTTAACAAGTTAGGTTAAATTTGTTATATTTTGGTTATAGGACATGTGGATCATCAGTTGTGCCCCTACTTTTGTATATATATATATATATATATATATATATAGTAAAATATCTGTATAATAAGAGTAGACTATTCTGATTCTTTTATCGGCGGCGGGGTTTAAGTGTAATATTTTATCGCGGGACACGTTCAAATTAAGAGATTTATATGTAATATTTCAAATGTTAAAGGTCAAAGTAATTAAGTGACAAATTTTAAGGGGTCTGAGTGTAATTCTCTTTTTATGTTATATATAAGAGTTAATCACAAATTATATCCCGAAAGAACAACCGTCACTTTATTGCGTAAAACTAAATACATAAATTATATTTAGACCCCTTTATATATGTCACTTAATTATTTAAACCCTTTATATTTAAAATATTACACCTACATCGTTTGAGAATTCAAATATAACTAAAACTATTTTCCAATTGGACATGAAAATAATTCTGTTTAAGTGATGTATTACATTGAATATAAAAAAATATTATATAAACACCTGCATTATATTGAGCATTCAAATAAAAAACTTAATTTTAAACTTTATAGTGTGACTAGGCCACAAAATAAAAATAATATGAAATTATAATTTTTTATTATGATAAAATCATATTTTTTAACGATTATATTAACAGATATCAATAATAAAGGGTTATATAATATATATGCACAAATGTTAGAAAATGTAAAAATAATATTTTAAATATGAAGAGGTCTAAATAATTAAGTAATAAACATATAGAATGTAAATATAATTTATCTATTTGGTTTTGAACGACAAATAAAGACGATTAGTTTGAGAAGTGCATTGACAAAAATTTTTATCTTTGAAATTGTAAATTAAAATTCTTGAAATTGTAATTTAAAATTCTTGATATTTAAATTAAAATTCCAGCAATCTTTCCGATATAATTTGCAATTAACCCTACATATAAACACTCTAGTTCCGCACAGCATCCCTCTATCCGTTGAAAAATGCCGTCCCCGAAACCCCTGGCGACCGCCGCTGGCATGCTCCAAAACCGCCTGAGCACCACCCTCCGTACACGAGGCGGTGGCGGCGATGGCCCGAGCCGGTGGGCCACAGCCGGCCACCAAGAACGCCCCAACGGTTATTTTTTGAACCGGACACCTCCACCGCCGGGTCAGTCGAGGAAGTGGGAGGACTGGGAACTTCCATGCTACATTACCAGCTTCCTCACTATCGTCATCCTCGGCGTTGGGCTCAACGCCAAGCCCGATCTCACCATCGAGACGTGGGCACACCAGAAAGCCCTCGAACGCCTCGAATCGGCCCAACAGATGGCGACCCTTTCTGATGATTCCGAGTGATTTACCAATTTTGGTAAGATTAATTTGGATATCGAATTAGAATGATCTGTTGATATTATGGTGTTTTGTGGTGTACTTGGGAGAATAAGGGTTCTTAATTGTTGAATTGGGCACTTCACTTCTTTGTTTACAAGGACGATTAATTATTGGAAAGTTGACTGTTCCTTTTCCGATGTTGCAATTACAATGTATCAAACGTCGAGAGAAATTTCTGATTTTCTTAACTGAGTTATGTGTTTCCGTGTTGATCACCAGTTTCTACCTTCTAGATTGATTAGAAAATTATTCAATTGGATGCGTTTGGATGCTAATAGGTTCACCACTGAGGTATGATAGTTTTCAGAAGTTAGGTCCCACATTATATCGATATATGCTGTATTTGACTTTATTGTTGCATAGTCGGAATTATGTGCTGTCAAATGTGTTCGATCCCCTGCTGAAGCTTATAACTTGGAGTGCTGTGTTTGTCTTGTTTCCTTTCTTTCTTTCTTTCTTTCTTTTTTTTCTTTCAATTGAACAATAGCTCCTTATCCTTAATACTTAATATTAATAACCTTGTTGTTAGCAGATGTTTTGCATTATGAAACCTCCATGGATTCAGTTTGTACCCAAATCCTCAAGTTTTACACCCACTGTGAACTTTGGGAAACAAAAACTCCATGCTTCTATGTTTGTTCAATCATTTTATTTGCAGGTAGAGCGAACCACTGATGACTTAATGTTAACTTTGATTGAAACCGACTCTTTGAAACCTAGCCTTCTCTACCCTAATGGTTCTTACTTCTGTTGTAGCTCGATCATACTTATTTTCAATGTTGTATGTTAGTCTATGCTACACATCACTCCTTNATTTCTCACGTGTGACTACTCATCCGTGGCATCCATAGTATATGTCGGAAGCAGTTTTGTTTGGTCACCTAGAGGCAGTGAACATGGTTCGAAACTCACTTTAGAAAGCTGAAGGTTCTCATTTAAAGTTTTCCTTGTAGCATCTTCCACAGCTTTATTGTGATAAATACTAGATATGTGTGAGACAACTAATTACATGTGTCTTTAATTCATATTAAGTGTATATGAGACTCGAGTACATCATTATTAGCCCAGTGTGTTAATAAATAAGAAAGGTTTTGTTGGTATGACTTGGACCTTCCAACTTAATTGGACGTAGTTAACACAATTTTAAACATCTGTTATTGGTTGGAATATTTAAATTCAACTTGGAAACTTTAAGGATATAATTTATAAAATTGATAATTGAGAAATAAAAGTGACATTTGGTGCAGACTTTAGGGACAAAAAATACATTTAGTCCGTAGTTTAACTTTTCTGGAATTTGACTAAATAAGTTAACAAGTTCAATCTTTAGATCATATTGAAAATGTACTGCTCGTTGAACAGTTGATTAATAGTACTGGAAGAGATGTTGAAAGTTTTATGTGATTTGCAATGCAAGCAGCATTATCATTTAAGTCATCTTGAGTTCAAGCCCTGTGAATTCCAGAAAAGTTAAACTTAGGACTAAATCAAGTAGCATTATCATGCAAGTCATCTTGAGTTCAAGCCCTGTGAATTCCACCACCAAGACCTATAAATGACTAGAGAATCTGCTGGAATGAAATTTCTGAGCTTACAGCAACTAAAAGGGTGCATAATAGTCAAAGTGAAAACCATAAAATCAGTTTATATTGAGGTTCAAACTAGTTTTGTCTTTTGGAGTAGGGCTTAAAGCAACTTGAGGTTGAATGTCGAAATCCGGTGCCTTGTGCCCTTGCCTTCTGTTCTCCAATGGAGTCGGTATCGGGGAACTGTAAACTATAGCTCAGCCTTGCAACTGTCCCATTCTGCATGATGCAGGACTCATCAGCATTTGCAGGTTTGCATTGAAAAACATTAGTTGCAAGATGAAAGTTTGAGGTTGAGGGTTCATTCAAGGCCGTTGAGGCCTTCAAGGGGAGCATTTCCTTGAAGGGACTGTTATCATGTATAGCTCTCAAGCCTGAGACCATTTGAGAGCCAATCTCATCTTCTTCTATTAAAAGACTCTCTTTCTTGTCTCCTCCACTGAGTTCATCCGAGCTGCTTCCTCCCTTATTATTTGAAGGCCCAAGTGCGGTTGCCTCCTTAAGTAGCTTTGCTATTTTTAAATCAACCTGCACATTATTGCCTGCCAGAATTCCCTTGACATCATACAGTTTTAAGTCGAAGTTTGTCATGGCGTCAAAACCTTTCAGCTTTATTGATGCAATGTCAAATGCCATTGCTGCTTCCTCTTGGGTATCTGTTAATGTTTAGATAGATTATTGAATGAACCCATTTTAGTTAGAATAATATATAAAGACAAGTATGCATGTCAATTACCAAAAGTTCCTAAGATCAATCGTCCTTTCTTTTTGCCCTTGACCGCTAACCATCGTCCATATTTGCTTTGCCTATTTCAGAGATTAAAATATTAGTGGATGTATGTGTGTGTAAGAAAGAAAGAGAATTTGAGTACTTTGTAACTCCACGGTAAAAGGAGCTGCCCCTTGCAAATCTGCTACTGGACCTGAAAGTTGAGACATAAACAAAAAGTCGTGGGAAATCACATTGTAAGGTTGCTGATCATCAACCATGAAATTTATGAAGTGTGTGGGTGTGGGTGTGGGTGTGTTTGTGTTGTGGGCGGGGGAGGAGGGGATTGGATAGCATTCTTTACCTTCTAATGTAAGCTAGTACTTCTTGTTCTGTCATGTGTGCTATGGCTTTCACTTCTTTCCCATACATACTTATCTACAACAAGAATACAAATTATAATGCACAAAGCAAATCGTCTCATCCCAGTTGGGTTGAGACTCAAAAAACAGATATTAATTATTTTATTCCGTCTTCACTCCGACACCATATTCAATGCCCCAAACCCAAAAAGGGAAAATGAAAAATCGTTTTTGTATGTTATGTTGGAAAGAGTAGATAGATGGTTCGTATGCACTAGGTCCAACAGTTCAATGGTCTGTGCGATATGAAAATAATGGGTAGTTCCAATGTATATTGGGTAATATATACTGAACAAGGACTAGGATTCTCAATTGCCAGTACATAAGCTACAACCCTATTAGGATTCTGTATGGTGAAGAACAACCGCTTCCGTGGACGTAGGCACTAGGCTGTAATTTTGCCACACCAAGTATATTAGTGTATTCTTTGTTGATTGTTTTTTCTTTCTCACTAATGATTCACTACACTGCGTGTTTACAAACATGTTATGCTTCCCTAAAGAAACAAAATATGGTCTCTTTTTCTCTCTCTCTCTTTTCAAGGAACTTGGTGATAGTCATACTGGGAAATTTGTTTTTNGTGTTTACAAACATGTTATGCTTCCCTAAAGAAACAAAATATGGTCTCTCTCTCTCTCTCTCTCTCTCTCTTTTCAAGGAACTTGGTGATAGTCATACTGGGAAATTTGTTTTTGCTTCATCTCCCCAGTACTTCAGGGAGAGTAAATCATGAGCTCTTGCTGCTTCAACTTCGTTGCTAAATCTACCTGCTTGAACAAAGAACATGAAAGTGTATAAGTAACTGCTCAAAATTACAGCATACTTCAAAAATAATACAAATGGGAAATGATTACACTCTATACTTATTGCAAAGTGGACGTAGCTTTCACTCACCCAAATATACTGCAAGAAATAACAGCATGAAATCACAATAAGAAAACTACTGGTCCTTTCAACAATCATTTTTTTAAAATCATAACATATTAGAAGCTGAAGGAACACATCTTGGAATTGTAAACTCTACCTGAGCGGCCTTTTGGTTTCATAAGTCCATTATGATATACAAATGCTGTATAAACATTCTTGTTTTTTGTCCTACAATATGAACAGATACTGTTTAGCCTTTTCCTGAAAGTTGCACACATACACAAACGCAAACATACGAAAAAGTTAACACTTTATCAAGCAGGGTTAAAGAAATAATACTTAATTACTCCTCGATATTGTGAACTTCGTTCTCTATTTGATGCAATGGAAGTCATTTGGACTGGATTGTCAGTATAAGTGGATTCTGCAGCCTTATTTGCCAAAACCATGAGCCCTGAATTTTCAGACATTTTATATGCTTCCTTGTATTATTGGTTGAATGAGAGTAGAATTGCCTGTGTAAGTGCACAAAAAAATGAGATCATTTTACCTTAATAATTGACATAGCGTCCTAGGAATTTATTCTCATAAGTTTTCCTTATGTCACTTTACAGTATTTGGGAATCTAAGGACTGCTGTAATACACTCTGAGTTTAACAATATTGATGGTAAGAAATTTAAACTAGTGTAGCAAAGTTGACCGAGAATAGTGGAACTCCTTTTTAGACAGATGAGAAGAATGTGGACTTATTGGGGAAAACAAACTTGGATCAAAATGCTAAATTGAAAGACAAATTGTTGACATTAGATTTTAATCTAGGTAACAGTTTTCGATAGAGTAAAAGTAATGGAATAGTCAATATTAATTTATATATGAGCAGCGGATGGTGACTGTAAATTGCCAAAAGCTGAGTTTCAATAAATTCAAACAAAGATGGAAATAGTGAACTAAAAATAGAAACTAGTTGAAATTTTATAGACCCAAAATTAAAGGAACATATGTTTTGATGATGGAAGAAAAAGAGGATAAACCTCTTATGACTACATATATGCATGCATTTATCTCTGTTTAGTTATAAGATTCGGCTCCTTAAATGTTTTTAACGGTCACAAGGAACTGGTTGATAACGACATCTGAAAAATTAATAGTCATAGATGAGGCAATGCAAGAATTACATGCACGTAAATGAAGCAAAATCAATATTTTATTACACCTGAGAAATGCAAAATACTTTGTTGAAAAAGAGAGATATGATGCTGGAAGTGTATGTATTTATGCCTCATGTAAACTTCTTACAGTGTGAAAATTGTCATGTAACCAAGTAAATACTTAGAAGAAAACTTCTTATCAACTTACTGAATGCAAAGATCTACAAAAACTAAAAGCTTTTTGTAAGGATCCCACATGTTTAGAAATTTTATTTGAATGATTCGAAAGAATGTGTATGTGTGCATTTGTTTTATGTTTTCTAAGTGTTTCTACTCGGTTAGAATATATCGAAAAACAATAGAAACTAGACGATATTTGACCATCTTTGTTTCTACATAATCATTCATCCATTTTTTCTTTATATGCTTAGTCAATCCTTTGTATATAGATCAACCTAACCATCTGTTACCTATTACTAGAAGATTATTCCTGCCTGCTCCTTTTGCTAATTGCACTTTCGTTAACTGCTCTGAATTGATCTGAAGGCAGTTTGCTTCCAAATCCTTGGAAAACCTGAAATTGTTATTGAACCAAAATTAAAAGTTGAGTCTTTTGAAGAAATTAAAACACCTCAAAATCACAATGGCGAGGAAAATAGTGGGAAAGATGAAAGAATGATAAAAAAAATAAAAACCAAAACGGAGGAAGATTAAGTATACAATGCAGCTTCTAATGAGACACTTCTGCCTGGAACTCTCTTTTTTGCATGTGTGTGCGTGTCTGGTTTTTTACCTTAAATCTCAGATACTCATACTGGTAAATACGATGATAAATCTTAATGTCTCTTCTGCTTTTATACAACTAATATCTCAATTCTTTGGTAAGAGAGTCTCAAAAACATTTGCCAATTCGTGCAGTAATTATTGCTAGGGGATTTTGTTTACCACTTCAGTCCTCTAAGCATTTATGTTTGCACTCAGACAGTTTGGCCAAGAATATGGATTAGGAAAAGCATTTAATTAGTTTCCCTAGTCCCTACCATGAAAAAGTTTGTATTCAACAAATTTTGCTATCTATCACCACTTGAAAAGTCAAAAATTAGTACTAGTAATTACTAATCTTCTTGTTTTTTTGAGTAAATTGTATTGCACTTTGTTGGGGCAACCTTCTCCTCACAGCTAAGCTTGACGCCATTTCTCGATTTGTGTGTTTATAACGGTCATGCTAATCTTCTTTTGTATTGTTCCAATTTTATCGGAGCCATTGCATCCTCTCTTGACTGAATGGATCAGTTCTCACTTCTCTTGGTAAGGCCTAAACTTATGATCACATTGACGTGCTTTTGCATTAGAATATAATCCACCAGGATGATTGCCATAATATTTATAGCTTACACCATGGTTGACAAGGATGAGCACACTGTAAAGTCTTCATCCTTGTCGCCCATGGTGTAAGCTATACATATTATGGCAATCATCCTGGTGGATTATAGCATTTCAAAACTTACTTAAGATTTCACTCTTATATTTTTATTTTTATACAAAGAACATTCCTTTGTTGCTCACATAATAGTCATTGCTGTCGAAATACTGATTCAGAAGCTAATTAATGCAGGTTTGTAGCAATTAATGTCTCGCCCGTTTTAAGTCCATGGATTGTTTGAACTCATGTCTCATTTGTTGGTTGAATCCTCCAAGTCAATCGATAATGCTTTGGATTATTGACTAAATTTGTTGACCAATTCTACTGTTGTTGTTGGATTAGTAGACCAAATCTCTATATGGACTGTAAATTTGGTAGCATTACTCCTAAGCCAGATGTGGAAAGGTGTATTCCGTTTGCATAGCTTTGAAACACTTTGTGACCCAATTTGAACTGTTAAGGCTGTAGGACTACAAAGGTTAGGTGCAGTTACAATGAAAAAAGCATATAGTAGTGCATTGCCTCCAGGCTGGCAAGATTTCAAACATTATCATAGACTTTGATGTAACATTGTGGAGCATATACGTTATTGTTCTCCGCTGGCTTGTTTGTAATTAGGACCGCCAACGGGTCGTGTTTCTAAATATGTAGGTCATATTGTGTCAAATTTTGTTCAACCACCTGATCATTTATAACGTACAGACTCAAGTTTGTATATCCTGACAAGTATCGTGTCTGGCCCGGAAACTTGTCCGCCCATTTGGGTGATGAGTCCACTCGTTTGTCACCCAAACCAAATAAGCTTTTTGAGTCGATTTCTAATAATATAACAGTTATACAGAGTCCAANCGGAAACTTGTCAGCCCATTTGGGTGATGAGTCCACTCGTTTGTCACCCAAACCAAATAAGCTTTTTGAGTCGATTTCTAATAATATAACAGTCATACAGAGTCCAAAAAGACAAACAAGCTAACGTATCCCTTCATTTAAAGAAAAAAAAAACTAGGGTGAAACAAGTTGAGAGGTTAATTCAAATTCAACTAAAATTACAGAAGGCTCCATCATAGAACTAGCAAGCTCCATCGTCAAAATTCAAGTTAATATTTTCAACTGACCAAGGCATCATACGTTTAAGCCTACCTGGTTTCTGCAATGAGAAAAGCCTCGTACATTGAACTACTCTTTCTTCTATATTTCGATTCAACAAGGAAATACATGTGTTAAATCTTGACATGGTTTCAATACTGTGCAAGACATGTATAGCTTCTTGTAAAAAGTACACATGCACTGAAAGCATAAAGAGTTCTTGGGGCTAAAGGTACGATATGAACACACCATCACCATCATGATACGAAACATTGGAATAATAAGCGCAAATTAGGCAGGACGACAAATTACAAATTTCCGCAGGAATGTCCATCAAGCCAGCACAAATAAAGACTTAACACACTGGAGCAAGCAAAGTACTATTAGCCAATTGAGGAGGATTGTCGAGTTCATTTGACTTGTAAAGTCGCCCTCCATTCTCGTGCCTTAAACCATTTATGTCAATTGAATGACACCTGATAAGACAAGTGACCAACTTATACGAAGACACGACGAGAAAGCATCATACTTCAGTACCTAATAAACCCCCACTGAATGGCTCCTAGAGCTTATCAAGCTTTTCTGATCTAATGACAGGATTGGCTTTGGCTATCGCATCCCGACCTGCAGTCTGATAATCAAATGGGCAATCATGTTTATCAGAGTATCGATGAACAGCACAGAAGAGATTCCCACACCTGCAATTGAAACCTGTCAGACCCACACGCTTCCGGCAAGAGTTGCATCTATTCGGACCTTCTTTTGCCTTGACCTCTGAACTCTGGCTTGTGAATGAATCACAGGATGCTTGTGTAGGAGCAACCTTCAACTCCACAGGTCCATCTTGCATGTCCACAGTACCAGCAACCACAGGCTCCTTCCCGCTGCTGCAAGACCCTCCATTCACAATGTTCTCAATGGACGACGCTGCAAGCTTCGCCTGCTCCTGCTTCAAGATCATGTCTTTGTGGCACTTAGAACACATGTTCATAGTGGCTGCACTACCAAAGAAGCCACAATTGTTGATGCAAAGAATAGGGCCTTCCGGAGCTCGGCAGCCTGTCTCTTTGGAAGACTCCATTGATCCAAATATATCCTGCACAAAATTATCTCAAGAACTAGAAAAAAAAACCACCACCAACAGCCACCAGACCATATCATATGCATATGAAAATGCGTTCAAGAACAAAAACCAAGGAAATGCAAAATTCAAGTACTCATTATAACCAGTTTAAAAAAAAAGTGCACATTATAAATCATTTCAAGACAGCAAAAGGGATATCTTTAAGCAAAAACATACATAATTATTCACTTGGTAATCATAGCATTGATTACCATATGATCCCTCTTCTTGAGTTGATCCTTTAATGCCAACATCATCATGGTTAATACATTTTTCACCTGTATTTGAGTAGTCAATGCCATGCTTTTTTTCCTATAGATGAAAATAATGAACCTCATCAAAAATCTAAATGATGAGGATAGTTCAATTTGATGGCAACTTTCCTTGAATTACAGTAAACCCTTGAGAATATGCCAGTTGACCAACTAGTAAAAAAATGCTGGCAGTTTTACAAAGACTTAAATCTATCATTGCCTTCATGTGAGACCATGGGGTTTATAAGACGAAAGTCTTGAGATTGCATAACCCCCAATGTATTTCAACTTCAAATTACAAAAAATTAGGCATACTACGCAACTTAGTAAAATAATGTAGTGTACATTTACCAAAGAATGTGTAGCATAGTAAGTGATAACATTTTTTATTATACAAACGTACTGGGCAAGAATAACGTCATGAAATATTGTATTGCAATTGGACATCATGAACTAATCAGTGGGAAGACGCACAGGATTCTAGTAAGAAAGCTGCTACATTGTACCCACTACTGAGCCACTACACGCAACAGCTAACAAAGTCACCAACCTATTTGATGGCAAACGGTTTCCACTGCAACTGATAAGATTATGTACTCAGTTTATATTAAGCAACCATCTAGTTCTCTTTTTCTCCGTTTTTCTAGACATTTAAATTGCTTAGTACAACTAAGTTTATATTATAATGGAACATCTACTCCCACAAGACTTTGTTACCAATTGAAGTGTCTAAACCACAACATTATTTTTTGCCAAGACTATGCTTTAACTCACACCAAAGAGACCGGTTACAAGCAATGGAGAACAATACTAACCACACGCAGGTTATATGGACTCCTCAAAATGCATCACAAACACATCAGGCATTTGACACAAGGTAAACATATGTGATAGGTTGTACATCAAACACTTCAAATGCGAGAGTACTCAAAAAGAAATAATTGGCCAACAAGATACACAAATGTTATGGGTATCCTATATTTTCTATCGAATATACACCTAGGAAGTAAACATCCAACTATTCATGTTTGATACAATTTTGTACCAAAAAATTTAAATATGAGAGTACACCACAAATAAATAATTTCCCAGTCGAAAATTCGATAGATAAAAACCAATTAACTTGAAGAATCTTTTTGATCGTTTAAATTTTGATGAACTTCTTTGCACTTTCAGCAAACTGGGGAAAAACATGACTGAACCACCAACAACAAATGGCCTCATGATAGTCAATATGGATCTAGTGTCCGCATTGTTGATCAATGCATGATATTCTCTAACTCATCAGTATTCTAGTTGGTGAAGATGGTTTTTTGTTGCACACTTATGAAGTAAGGATACTTCGTTAAGGTCTACGATCCGTATCGGATACGATACTCATCGAATAATCGAATATCGTATTGAATACACACCAAACGCATCCAATAATAAATAAAATATATAAATACTTCGCGGATACTTCTATATATAGAGAAGCATGTATAATTTTTAATTTTAATCTTTACCCCTTCCTTTTGATTTCATATACAATGCAATACATCAACAAGAATTCATATGAATTAAAAAATACATGGGTGTTTTTCAAGTATTATCCATTATTACATGTCCAAAAAGTATAAATGAGTAGATTACTCTACAATCTTAACAACAAATACGTCTAAAAAAAGTAATCTAATTAAATGTTGATTCTTATTCTTTAATTAATCATGTTCACTTTGTAAATGTACGATAGTGAGACAATAGGCCATTACATAATAGTCATTACATAATAGTACACAATATTATTATTAAAGAATCACTAAAAATTATAACTATAAAGTCATTACATAATAGTACAAATATAAAATATATATTTATGGACATATCTCTTCCGTATCCGTATCCTATTTTAGGATTTTGCTATATTGCCGTATCCGTATCTGTGTTTCCTAGTTGCACACCAACCTTGAGCTCTTCAAGTAACCAAGGTAATCATTTAATGTAGGAGATAAAGGATGCTTCTAAGAAATTCCAATGGAAAGGATTCCATCGAATGAAAAGTCTTCTTACACCTTATTAGCGAGTTCATATAATCTCCAAATCCAAGACTCCTACACATTTTCATGCAACATAGAAGCTTACTGAACAATGCATGTGATACTCAAATCGTTATCAAACATATTACATTATCAATTAATAATTGGGTTTAGAAGTCAATATAAATGTCATATGATGTTATTATCAATAAGATTACATTATAAAATCACCAAACAAGGAAGGAGAAAAAACAAACACACACACACTCAAAAAACAAAAAGGAAATTAATGGACTTCCTGATCCCTCTCAGTTGGGTAAAATAGGAGTATAGTAACATTAAAAAAGAAAATGTCAGTCTCTCCCTTTCAAAAAACTTAATCTCAAACTTCCTAAAGCAAATACTAAGTAATCAAAACAGCCAAAATTAAAATACAAAAAAAAAAAACATTAAGAAGAAAATAATCCTTGAGATAGACTAACCCATAATGACCACCATCTGTCTCATCCAATTTTGGAATGTAAGATGTAGTGACAAAGAGAGAATTTCAGCAAGAAAAACTCTACACCTAAAAGAACAGTAACAAACAAAAGAGAGAAAGTAATCAATTGATATAACGAAAAAAAAAAAAAAAAGATCCGAGGCTTTAAACAAGCTGCAGGTATGCAAGCTTAGTTCACAACAAACAAAATTTATAAGAAGGGCAGAGAAAAACTAATTACGAATGCAAGAAAATCTTCAACTCATTTATTTTCATTATGTAGAGTTCTTGGTCCATGAAAACATTAAGCTTTAAAACAGAATTAGCAGTTAGTCCATTGACCAATCCCTTAAAAAGTAGATGCTCCAGAGACCACCTATGTCAAGAAAAACGAATTAAGTAATGCCAAATGTGCAATCCAGTAAGCAATCCCGTATCAAGGAATGGTAACAAATTTTTGACCCAACCACAAACTTCGGCCACAGCCGCGTAGTGCAAGGAGGAGCCCGTAGCTGTGAGTTTGCATTATAATGATTGTGCTTCATAACAGTAGNTTAAAAAGTAGATGCTCCAGAGACCACCTATGTCAAGAAAAACGAATTAAGTAACGCCAAATGTGCAATCCAGTAAGCAATCCCGTATCAAGGAATGGTAACAAATTTTTGACCCAACCACAAACTTCGGCCACAGCCGCGTAGTGCAAGGAGGAGCCCGTAGCTGTGAGTTTGCATTATAATGATTGTGCTTCATAACAGTAGCTTCCATGAGAACTCAAACAAAAATAATGGCAAGAATAACATTCAGATATCATTTAATGTGTATCTTAGCAAGGTGCCCCTATTAGAAGTATATTCACCGATATTGACCAAATCATAATTTTTTACCACACCCACAAACTGGAATTAAATTCGCAGCTCTAGACTTGCATATAGGATGAGAATGCTCAACAAAACAGTAAATTTTCCACAATTAACATAAAAAGGTTGCATATTTTTTCAAAAAAGCTGATGTAGTGTTTCCAAACAACAGAAACCACTGCAGCACTTCGCTTAACTTCTTTTCCCTTTATCCTAATAAGTACCTAAGCATCACATGAGCATAAGAACAAAATTTCCCCATAAGTCACACACCAAACGAAAGGAATAAATCATCAAACTTTTCCAAAAGGGACACATGACAAACATTGGTTAAAATCCAGAATTCAACTTATAACAACTCAACAAAGGTAGTCCCAACTAATTGCGGTTCAACTCACGAATTTTATAAGTATAATATTCACCATATAACCATAACAATTCAATTACGTTACAACACGCAGCAAATCAAGAAAAATCTCCCAAATATCCGTTGGTCATGACTAACACTAACAAAATTTCGTAACACATGCCCAAAAAAATCCCAAATCCTCCCTTTGAAACCTACTCTATCAACCTATCATCAAGGAATTCAATCAAAAAATTTTGACATCAAACAGTATGTAAAATGAACAAGTACCCACCAACATATTTAAACACACAGGGCTAACAATATGCATATAGAATCAAGTATGCAACTGATACGCCTAATACAAAACATGAATTGAATTAATTCTCAAATATGACAAATAGAATGGTTAGGGAGCAAAAACCCCAATCAAGAGCGAGAAAATATCAAGGAAGCCCTCACCTGTATATCAAAATTAAGAGCTGTGGCCGATCTTGACTCAGCAAAACCGAACCAGACTATTCCCAACAACCCAATTACAACACATAAATATTCACAAAAACCCTTAAATCAAAACCAATAATAAATGAAAATTTGAACATCAAAATAGGATAAGAAGGGTGTATTGTAGTACGTTAAACGAAAGTAAGATTGTGAAAACAAATCGGAGAAATCGAGAGATGAGGATATAGAAAGATGGATATACAGAGAGAGAAATAGGGGTTTGATTTGTATTTATGACTTTTTTTTAGATTTTATCCTATTTAATTACTACTTGTTTTTTATCTGCCAACGAAGGCTTTGTACCAATACGGTGATGCTGATGCCTTTTCTTTCTGCCCACACAAAACAATATTACTATCGTTTTGCCAATTTGAGGAAAATTCTTTGGCACTTCAATCTCGTGATTACTCGTTTTGTCGAGCGCCAATTCTGACATGTTGATATAATTTTGTACGATTAATTATTAAATATGTATAATAAATAATATAAACTAATATTTATTATTTAAAACACACAAAATAATTTTTTTTTTGTGAGTCTTTGACACAAATACGACAAAAATAACATGACATGTGGATTACACAAACGCAACACGATTAACACCCCTTATTATAAGCTAATTCTATATAAGTGAATAAAATACAAAATTAAAAAATTATGTATTATATTTGGTGTTTCATACGATATTAAATTAAGAAGTGGATAATAGAGTACCAATTATATATTAGAAAAAATCATAAATTTTATTTAGTTATTAATATTTTTGTTTATTTGGTGGGTAAAATAATAAATTTATAATTTAATACGTTTGAACTGGATTATATATAATCGGTTCAATAATACGAACAAAATATATTATTTGAATAAATATTTAAAATGAGATTATACATAATACGGGCTATTTTTTGTAATCAAACACAATATAAGATTTAATTAA